GGTGATATGAGATGGGATTGATGCATGGGTAGAGAGTCTGACCCTGAGGAGGAGAGCACCTCTTCCTCTGGGTTTGGAACAAGGGTTTGGGTAAGTTGGGTGGTGAGGAAGGAGGGTGGCGTGGTGCCATCTACAGAAAGTGAGGGCAGGAAGAATGGGTGTGCCAGAACACCCTCCCCAAATTTCTTTATTATAGACCTGAGCCCTCTTAACACTCACCTTGCATTTGCCGGTTTTTTTTTTTTTTTTTTTTCTTCTTCTTCTTGAGAAAATAACCTGGGGCTTTTAACTGCTGTTCTGGAGCAAGTCATATCAAGAACTTTGTGTGCTTTTATCACAATGAGAAAATTCACACTATTGACACAAAAGGAACTTTTAAACTGTTAATGCCTGTAGTGTTCCCTTTCAATCTCTGAGACCATCCTCACAGGGCTAACAAGAATTACAAGCCAGGCCTCAAGTGACCCTAGTGTTAGCCATTAACCAGGGTGCACTGGTGCACTTTGACCCACTTCCTTGCACTGAACTGAGAATCACATAGTGTGCTGAGCACCTGCTTCTCCATTGTTCCTGTGGGCAGGATCACTGATGGTAGAATCATGAGACCTTTGTTTAAGCATTGTTTAAGTTATTTTTCAGATCCTGAACTCCAGGAGAACAGCTGATGCCAACCAGTCTGAAGACCCCCACCAAGGAACTGATTCTGCACAAGAATGTGGTCTCTTCATCTCCCTGTCTCATGACTTCACTCCTAGCTTCTTGATCAATCAGCAGTCTCTCAGTTCAGCCCACCATCTTTCCCACCATCCATCCAGATCCCTTAAAAAACCTTGTCCCCAAACCTCTCCAGGAGACAGATTTAAGGTTTCATGTTTCCTCAATCACCAGCCCTACAATTAAACATTCTCTGCTGCAACCCTTGGTGTCTCAGTGTAGCCACACATCAGGCAATGAACCTATTATGTTACAGCTCTCTGTCTAAAAATTGTTCCTATTTGCTGCTTACTGCTGCTACTGAAGAACAGAGGAGACTTAAACCCATCACAAAGAGCTTAACAAGGCCGAGTGAGGTGGCTCACATATACCTATAATCCTAGCACTCTGGGAGGCCAAGGTGGGAGGATTGCTTGATGTCAGTAGTTCAAGACCAGCCTGAGCAAGAGCAAGAATCCATCTCTACAAAAAATAGAAAACTTAGCCAGGGAGGTGGTACATGCCTGTAGTCCCAGCTACCTGGAATGCCTCAGCAGGAGGATCCATTGAGTCTAGGAATTTGAGATTGCAGTGAGCTATGATGACGCCAGTGCACTTTACCTGGGGGAGACAGAACAAGACTCTGTCTCAAAAAAAGAAAGAAAAAAAAAATGGGGCTTAATAGGATAAAAATTGGCTGGTCTCTCTGCCAATCACTTCTGCTCAGGAGGAGTTTCATATGGGTCCAGAAAGTCCTCTGTCTTTACCTCCTCCTACCTGCTACACATACTAATTCAGTAGACACCTGTTTGCAAACCCTGCACATACTTCTCAAAGAGGTCCAGATCCTGATTTGGTTTGCGATATAAAGGAGGCAAAAAGTAAGAGAAGTGAAACCAGTATTGTGGTATCTGAATGTTGTATAATTTTTCTCACTCTCTTAAAATGCATCACAGTCATGCTTACAAGCCATTGCAAAAAAATAGAAGCAAACATCCCAGGCCCCAAGCCATTTTCACTCCCAAGAGGCAACTATTTTCAATTTTTAAAATTATTTTTTAATGTTTAACCTGCTATATCTAAGTAAAAATGTTTCTTATATTGCTACTTTCGATTGCCATTAAGTTTTAGGCATTATCTACTGACATCCCTTTATGGAAGATGAGAATTTATTTTATTCTCCACTCACACAAATTCCTGTCTTACCCTCATCCTTCTAATAAAATTACATTATAATTTTGGGCTAGATCAATATATAAATTTTATGTTTCCATAACTATGTTAATATTATATGTAGCTGACCCACATGGTATGTTATAGTTATGTTTACTTTCTTATGAAAAAATTTTTTGTTCTCTCTGGAGTTATTTAGCTTTTTTTTCCCACTTGCACAACTTTCCATGTATCTAGTTAATCCATCGCTCAACTCTCTTATGAAGTGTTAAGTTTCCCTTCAGTAAGTACAAACACATCAGGCACTTCATCTACTTCATCATCTTGGAGCCAGTTCCCTGAGTGAGCAGACTGGGTCAAGATTCCCCTTTTTCTTTCCTTTATCAAGATATCAATGTCCTTAGCCTGAGATTCTGTAAAATACTTAATTGATATGTTCTCCAACTTTAAGGCAGCAATTTTCTTACCACATATTAATATTAAGTTAGCAAAAAACAAAGAAATGAAATAGCACATCGATATCTAATCTTGAAAAAACTGCCATGAAAATACATTGCTGGTGGCACTAAAATTGACATAACACTTTTGCTCCAATATTCTTATAGGAGACCAGAATATACTACCCTAACATATGTTCCTCTGGAATAAGGATTTTTTGAGTAAGGGCAGACACAGGAGAAGCTAATACCTGAAAACAGGGTATTAGTTACCCTTTTGTAAGAGAAATTGACATCTATAAAGGAAATCTCCATTTGTGAGGGTAGCTCCTTCTCTGAGCTAGGAAGAAAAAATGACTAAATCACGGAAGACTCTTCTCATGGAGAAAGCACTGACTTGAATCTGCATAACCACTCATACTCTGGTTTACTTTTCCTGATCACCTCCCCACAAATGGCCTTCTCCCACCCCTTTTCTTTGTTATTTGTAGTACTAAAAAACTGGAAATAATAATGTTCATTAACAGGGAAATGGCTAAATAAAATGTGGAATATATTCTTTGCTTTTTACATACCTGTAGTACTAAGAAAATAAGAGTTGTCTGAGTACACTGTGATTATAACATGTAATACATACATGTTAAAAATTGAAACCATGAACTCATACAGCTTATGTCTACAAGAACATGACTTTACTATTCCAATGTTCATTAGCATACCTTTAATCTTCCAGAAGTCTCTCGCCCAGACAAATAACTGTATACTTCTTAACAGGAAGTTGTCAACAGACTCATCAACTTTTCAACAAAAAGCATCAATTGCCGATTGATAGTTTATGTGTTACAACTCTTTGAACCCCTTGACTCAAAATCCTTGCTTTGCTGTTTCCATCAATCCTAAACAATCACACCATGATCTTTACTCAATCCTACTTAAGGCCTGCTCATTGAAAGATTCCCCACAAACAAAACCCAGAAATTTAAACAAAATCTGACCGTGCCCTTGTGCTTCTAAGATACTATCAATAGATGGGTCTCTCTTATGACAGTGAGTAATGAACTCAGCCCTATATTGTCAATAGATTATATTGGTGGTATTTGAGGAACCCGGCAATCAACAGTGTAGAAAAATTATGTAATATATACATGTAGAAAAAGACAAAGGGATATGTAAAAAATAATAACAGTTATGTTAAGGGATTGGTATTTTGTCAATTTTTCAAAACTTTTTTATGGTATTCTTATATAAGGAGGGCAAGGCTTACTTCAATAACCAAGAATACATTTTGGTACAAGGCACCTTTTAATGTGTAAAGATCAGACAATGGCAAAACTGTGCAACTTGTTATTCTCTGTTGTGTTTTGTAGAACAATCAATAATAATCAAGGGAGAAGCCTACTTAGATAGTAAACTGAGCTATTCTTATGGTAATTATGCTTGTAGAATGGAAATATAGTTGTAATGAAAGTGATCCAAAAATGCTCTAAAGTCACTTAGTTAATGTTGAGAAACAATCAGGAGGACATTGACAATGGCCTTTAAATGGGTTTTGCTATTTAATGGGACAGAAGCTTTAGACAATAGTTTGCTTGCATAAATGTCCTAAAACTAACACAGCATAGACACATTTCACCAAATTAAAAGCCAGTCTTTATTAACAGAAAGCTTGTAGTCAATGGGTTTTGCAGTGAAGGAGCTCAGGGATTTTCACCCCAAAATATGATTCCTTGGTATAAAGAGTATTTTGAATTAAAGGCCCTTAGGATCAATAGGCATTGGAAGGGGCTTTCTTTCTATCTGTATAAAACCAGAAAGATCTATCCCAAAGAACAATTGCTTTTCCTTCCCCTCCCAGTTATCTCAATATATTGTGGGAAAGAAGACTAAGGATGCAACCAGAGCTGGCCAACCCATTTTACAGATAATACCTTTCTTTCAGGTTAGTTAAATTTCCAAAGAGAATCATTTACAAGTCAATCTATTTACCCCTATCTGTTCATTCTCCCAAGTATCTATTCATCTTCCCAAGTAACCATTTATTGTCCCTAAACAGAATTACCTATATGCCTCACCTCCCACTCCCCTCTAGAATGAGGGTATATAAACTCTGGACCCCATTGGGATATTGGGTAATCACTCTGTGATTCTCCCCCTGTGCATGGTAAATAAATCTCTTTCTCTTATTAATCTGCCTTATTGTGAGTTGATCTTCCAGGGTGAACAGAAACTATCCCCTCACCCACACAGCAGTGTTTGTCAAATGTATTTCCTGTCATTTCATGAAAACCAGGGAGCAAAGCTGGCATGTGGATAGATTTTGCCACAGCTGGCAAGGGTAGCATTCGACTATGCCCATGTACAGTTATCTGTTTTGTGTCAAGTTTTCTAAAGCAATCAAATTTTGATGGCTTGGTTTGTTAAATTGGCTGTGGTTAGGCCAATGAATGGTCAGCCAACCAGGTAAATGTTACCTTCTCCATGGGATATTAACTCATACTGTTTGTTACTTTTTTAATCTTTGTTCTCTAAGGCATAAATGAACTATAGTGAGAATGAAGTGCATCAATATGGGCACAACAACAAAAACAGGAACAATGAACAAAGAAGTCTGAAGATCTCACTATGATAAGACCAAGGGTTTATACAGCTTCTATTCCAGGTAAACACATGCTAATGACCAAAATAAAGACAGAAATATTAAGATTAATCTGGTAATTTTATTTAATATTTACCATTCAGCAGCAACCAACATGAACATCTGAGCTAACAGAATCTCTTGAAATGATCTGCTATGTAGCTGCTTCAGAAATACACACACATGATAAATTCAACTGCTCACTGCCAAAATTTTTTTTAAAAAATGGCTTCAAGAGCAAATAACACTGATTTATACTGTGCTCAAGCACTAGTCAACGAAGCTATTAAATTACACAGGAAAAGGAAATCAAAGAAGCTTTGTTATCTTATGCATGTCATCTTATTTAAATGGAAGGTTTTACTTCTTTAAAGCAACAGAAAATGGAACTTTATATATATGTGTGTGTATATATATGTGAATGTGATTACAAACACAAAGTGTTATCATCAAAAGCAAAAGCTAGTTCAAAAAATTTCTGACTGCAAAACTTGCAAGATACAAAGCTAAAATGCATATGTTCCTTTTCTCAATTATGAACACTTTCACTAAACATAAATATTTAACATATATTAATTTTTCCAACATTCAAAATTGTAAAGTCAATATGGCAGAATTATTGTTAAAAGCACATATGTACAAATATTCTTTTTCCATACATAAAGTATTTGGCATAATTATAACAATCATACTGCATCCACAACTGTTTGCTTTAATTTTTACTTTTTTTTTTTTACACATAATGGTATCTCTTATTAAAATTAACCAGTTATATACAAAAATACTTGAACATTTATTATAGAAAACCTCTATAACCAGCCTCAACAGCGTATACCTGCTGAATGGTTTCATTAAGAGAATATAAAAAAGTGGTCACTGCCTTCCAGGTAAGCTATCAACAAAACAAATGCGGTTAAACTAAAATGAGCTTCCCAACAAAAGAGGGAAAATATTTAACAGTATGATTTAAAATACAGTTCATATCTATTGTCAATTGAGTGTTATAAACAGTCAGTAAAAGAAAAAACTAAGATACAAAATACATTACTACATACAAGGTGCTCTTTTCACACTCCTACAACTGTGGCATTAGCATCCCTATCTAGGTCTAAGATGCTAAGTCGCAATACTCAAGCTAGAGCAGTCTACGGCCATCCTCCTTCAACCAAAGGACAACAGGTCAGCTAAGAAGACAAGCTCCACTGGTCAGAATGGAGAGTTGTGAGGAATTTTTTATTTTGTGCAGAATGGAAAGTTAATGCCCTTGCCTTTTGTAAGTCTTTTTGCCATTTAATCATGCTAATATATTTTCACCAAGGTTTTTACTTCATTTACACTATTGATTTAATACTGTCCTGTATCGATTCCTGAATTCTTGCTAATGGGACACAGTAATTTGTGCCTGTTTAACACTTGAACATCTGCTCTTCTTCAATGACAAATTTTATATAGGAAACTATCAAGTAAGGAAGCACAAAATTCAAGTAAACATTTCTCCTGGAGTCTCTTGCTTAATCTAGCTGATTGGGACTCTGAAAGCAAATTGCACCTTGAAAAGAAATACAGTAGATACCATGGTGCCAGGGTAGTAAAGGATTTAGCAACCAATTCACAAAGCAGAATTTTAAGAATGTAGACAGCTGTCAAACAGCAAAAGCAACCTTATATAAGTACTTTGCTTCAAGAACAAAACAACTCCAGTCCCAATCCTTTGCAACTCTTTAAGTATAGATATTGTCTAACTAGCCTGCTTTAACCTTTAAATCTGATGATCTGCATCGATCATGCTGCTCAGGGCCAGAAACCTCGCCTTATTTACAGAAGTCTGCTAAAGTAAGGACCATTGTGTTAGGGTGTGCATTGACTTAATAAGCTTTCTCGGAGTATCAAGTATTCAGTAAAAAGTATACAACATTATCACTCATTGCATTGCTTGACAATATCGTATTGGTTTTTAAGATTAAACTATGTAAAAAAAGTGAACATAAAAAGGTACAAAAGGAGTCTTTATCCCTATTTACCACTTTCAAGTGAGAAACGTTTTAATGAAATTCAGCCATACTTCGTGTAACAGCTGGCGACTTCTAGATCAGCATAACTTTTTAACATTGTGCAACATTACATTAATAAGAAGCGAGTTTTAATTCCATCCATTGAAAGAAAGGTCTAAGTTATTAAAGTGCCTACACTACATGTCGTCCCATCCTATTTTGTAAACGGGCAAAGAATTCGTCTCGGGTACATAGAAAAGTGACTTATAACTGGGAGACCTTCCTGGGCAGGGGCCTGGGCCGCGGGCCGGGCTCAGTCCTCCGGGTCCCGTTCTCCAGGTGGCCGGGCCGCGCCGCCAGGGGCTTGGGGGGCAGGGCGGGGGGCTCTGCGGCCACGGGGATGGAGAGGCTGTGAGGTAGCGGGACGGGGCGCCGCAGAGTCCGCTCGTACACGCTGTAGGGCGGTGGCGTTTTGCTCTCCTTGCGCACCGGCTCCTCGGGCCCCGGCCCCGGCGCAGCCGCCGACTGTTCGTTCACCTGATTTTCGAAGCCTGAGGTTTCCGACGTGCTACACCGGCTGAGAGAAGAAATGCCACTGCTGTAGCTGCCCGACAACACGGGGGAGTTGGAGGTCAGTCCTGGCGAGTGGTACTCCACCGGAGACGGGGTGAAGGACTGCACGGAGCCCTGCTGCCACGGGCGCGGAAGGGACAGACAGCGGCGTCAGGAGCGGAGACACGGCCCGACCTGTGCCCCTCCCCTGCAAAGCCACACGTGGGAGCCCCAGTCCCCAGTACCCCACCAGGTGGCCGCATTTGGAGACAGAGCCTCTACAGAGCTGATTAAGGTAAAACGAGGCCCTTAGGGTGGGCCCTAATCCAATCTGACTAGTGTCCTCGCAAGGAGACGGACTTGGACACACAGGGGACACCAGGAATGCGGGCACGCGGAGAAAAAGGCCACGTGAGAGAAACGAAGCCCGGGGACACCTTGATCTTGAACGTCTAGCTGCCAGAGCTGGGAGAAAATAAATTCCTGCTGTTAAAGCCACCCCAGTCTGTGGGGTATTGTGAGGGCAGCCTGAGAGGACTAATACAAACAGCCAGACTCAAATTTGAGTGTTGTCATTGGTAGCACTAAAATACACAACAGACCTGTGTCTGCCAGGCCCACCAGTAATAGCGTTCAGCTCACTGCCCCTTTTACTCCTTATCATTTTCACATAGAGGGATAAAAGCAATCAATAAGAGAATTCGGAGGCACGCAATTAGTCCTGTAGTTTGAAAGAGAGGGAACTGGTGAGGGGAGCTTTGGGGGTGCTATTTCACTATTCTAGCTCAGCAGGGCGTGAGCTCAGAGCTGCAGGACAGAATGACAGGGCAGCTGTGGACATCTGGGTGGGACACTCTCCCCCACCCCAGCTCCAGACCCCTGAGCTGAAGCTGCAAGCTGGCAGCCCTTTTAGCTCTGGCCTGAGATGTGAGCCTTTTCATCTGCAGTGAAAACCTGATTTAGTTCCTAATTTGTAAGAACAGGAAAATTTCACATGAAACCCCAGATTTCTCACATTTCAGAACTAGAAGTTCTGACAACAATAGCACACATTCTCTTAATGGAGGTAATCTTTTGAAGCCAAGTGGGGGCTGTCCCCTTTAGATGGGGCATGAATTCTTAAGTGGACCACAGTTCCTGCTATTCCACATGTTCCCACCCAACCTCCTTCGCTCATTTATGTCAGCCCTCTGACCCATCTGGCATCTGAATTATTGTTTTCCCAACTGGGATCGTGAGAAAAATGAGTGCTAAAGAGGTGCTCTGTGGAAGAGGGTTCCACTGGGAAATGCTGCATACTATATTAGAGCACATTCAAAGCATATTAGCATGTTAAAGTCTTACAATAAAGAAACCTAAAGAACTTTGCTCAGCCCAGTGTTTTCTAAATTATTTGACCACAGACCATTTTTTCACTTATCACATAATATCCTAGAAAACTAATGTTCTATATAGAACACGCTTTGAGAAATGCTGGCCTAGGCTAGCTTTGCTGTGGTCTCTCTTTTATAAGAATGCTGGTAGACACAAATCCTTTCATTTAATAGGAGCCTAAAATTACGCAAGGCCAATTAACAGACCCCAATTCACTGCTGTCTTCGTTAAAAATTAGACTTGAAATTCAAAATATGGCAGTTCAGCTCAGTCTTCTCTGTAGGGTTAAACCTATCATTTCATTGCTGGGAAAAAAAACCCCACTAAATTCTATCAGTTAAGGCAGCGCACTGCAGAGCTAGTATAATAACTCGGTAGCAGTGTGCCCCCTAACGTAAGCCAGGAGTTATAACACAAATGTTCGATCTACTTTCTCTTCCTTCGAACTCCATTTGTAAAGACATGGCTTTAGGTTGCATATGGCCAGTTAAAATATATGCAGGTCTGCAGACAGGTAGCATACACTAGCTTGCTAACTAGGACTGTTTGGTAGCTACTCAAACATTTTCTGCCCCTGGGTTCTTTTTATGGCTTAAGAATTATTCTCTAAGACTAATTATTGTCTATTACTACTTCGTGAAATCAAGTTGAAACACATAGATGATAATTCCATAGCAACATGTGGGAGCTCTTTGTAAGTGTAAATGTCAAGGTGTGCAAAACCCACACTGCTTTCCTTCCCATCACATCAAGATGACAGGCGATGGCTTCTGGAGCGAATGCTGTCACATGTACTTTCTGATAACAGCTGCATTGCAGATGACAACAGAACTAGCAAATAATTCACACTTACCAGCAAATTTCTACATCAGAAATTTAGGCAATGCAAATGAAGCTGCATTTCTTTGAGTTTCTTCTTCATTATTTTTGCTTTTGTTTTCCAGTTTCTCAATTGCTATCAGCAAATATCGTTAGCATTGCAGATGCAACGGATCGCAACCTGCCCCTATGTGTTTGTAGAGGCTAATTTATCTTTTTCACATTAACTAGAACTATCTCATCAACAAAAAGGACATAGTGCGTGTAAATCCGAAGTCACTCAGGTACAAAATCATTCTTTCAACGTTCACTTCAACCTCATATTTGCCTCTGGGGCAGCAGCTCTGAACACCAACCACTCATATGTACTGACACTCCCTGCAGCCAGTCTGATTCAATTTGGATAGAGACTAAATATTATTCTTTATCTTCATGAGGGATTTTGTGTGTTTAGAGGTATTAAATAGACTATGTCTACAGGCTAATTCAAATGTCTGACCTGTAAAGCTTTCTAGTTTGTTCCTAGGAATTTTTTTATCCATTTTACTGCCTTGTTTTTCATGATCAAGTATGTATTTCTAATGTAAATGGCATAAAATATTAAAAGGTAGAAAGTTGGGATTAGCTTTGTCATAATGGGTGAGGTTGATGATACAGGCAAAAAGACACAGAATAATATTTTGTAGATCTTGATTATTGATGTTTTTCTATCTAAGTGAGTGAGTGAGTGAGTGCGTGAGAGAGAGAGAGAAAGAGAGAGAGAGAGAGAGAGAGAGAGAGAGAGAGAGAGAGTGTGTGTGTGTATTGTTTGATAGGCCTTAAACTAAAAGACTAGGCTGAAATGTCCTAAGAGGTCTGTTGGGACCACATATCTTTCCTCATTCAGTATATGTACTGACTCTAGTTTGTAAGTTCTCATTGCTACCATTTGGAGAATGAGGCTAATAATCTGAAAACAAATGCTGCATTCCTGGAGGCGGCTCCCCAAGGGGAAAGCCCAGTGTTGCTTTCTTGCCCGTCTCCCCCCAGCCCTTCTTTATATGTTCTTTGCAAATGAAAACACCTCTTGATATACTCGGGATGGGTCTTTGAGAAATAAAGGAACCTGGGCCAGTCTCTGGCCTCAGTCTACAGAAGGGGCTGTACCTTCATTGGAGATCGCCCAGCAGGCGAAGGGGATACTGCTGTCGTGTGTCTTGCTGGTGAAGCTGAAAATGGAGAGAGAACATTTCAATTAAGAAAAACCAGACTGTTGACCATGTGCAAATGCCATCTGTGTTACAAACCCAGACAGATGATCCAGTGCACAAAGATCTCCTAAGCAGGGGGTGTGGGGGCATGGGTAGGGACAGGGGAGAAACTAAAGGAGGCCTGTCCAAAACAGGTTCCTCACAAAGCATGGCATGACCAAGACATGTGATGATTAGTGAAAAGTTATCAGGGTATACACAATGATTTGACCGAAATGACAGGGCCCTCAACTGGTCCAATGTCCTTTCCATTTCTCTAAAATCCAAATGATTCTCCACTGCTCGATCTATTTCATAAGGTGTAAGGTGCTAGAGAGTAGTCCTTGGGGAACAGCTGCTGACGTTGGCCTGAGCAAGGCCACCTGGGCAGCTTAGGATAGCTCCATGGGAATATATTTAATCAGCCCCCCTTCCATACTTTCAGTATTCCCAAAACAGAAAACCCTTGGCCATGGACATACAAGAGGTGTGCAGTTTTCCATTTCTCCCCCTACTTAGGTCTTCCCTTTGTCCCCTGGTGGTGACACACTATGGATTTCATCATCATGGCAAAGAAGAGCATCTCTTTGTTTCTCCCACTAGATTTCCAAGTTCTACATCTGGGACGCAGGTGTGTAAAGGCACTGCTCCCTGTGAGCGTGTGTGGATAAAGGCATAGAGAAGCTGGCCATGACACAGCCAGCAGGGTGAGGGGAAGGCACATTTCCCAATTCCACATAGGCAGGTGTCAGTGAATCCAGGCTATCTTGCTCTGTGATTAGCTGCCACTCTCCCAGCTGTCAGAGTGAGGTTTGTAATTCATAAGAAAACTACAGAAAGGCTGAAAGGAAGAAAGACAGACAGTTACAGAGCCCCACAACAGTAACCACAGATGGTGACATAGGACAGACCATGAGAGCAATCAGTGCAGAAGGGATGGCAGCCCTGCCAGTTAACATGGGAAAGGTGAGGTCACCTGTGTATTCTGGGTCCTAAGGGAACAGGGAGAGTGGCCACTTTCACACTGTGGGGTGTGCAGCCTCCCTCTCGCACGCTGGGGCATGCTGTCACCACGTGTCACATTCGTTCTCCTATCCTGCCAATTGTGGGTGCTGATTATGGACGAAAATCACGTGTGTGGAGAGAAACTGATCCTGGCTGGGAACTGTATTTCTGCCATAACTGTGGCAAAAGTCAGAGTTGACTGTGTCTTGAGACTTTCGTCCTCCTGACTCAGGCAGTCACTGACATCAACCACCATGGTGGCCCCAGTGCCCAGAGCACACTTGCAGAGATTTCTCTGGAAAGGCATTTTCCCAGAGATCTAAAATAGTTTCATCAGTGTCCTTGTCTTGAGGTTTGAACTGGCCTAAGAACCTAATTACCATCAATATTATTACTTAAAAAATGCTTTCAAGCTTCCAACTTTAGGGACACAATCAGGTTTAAATTGGAGACTGCCTGAATATATATATATATATAAAACATTGCAAATGAAATATAAACAGTTTGGCTGATGTGTCTTAGTCTTCCACAGTCATGCTGATACACTAATGCAGCTTAAAGTTATTTCTTGTTCTGTTTTAAGATCTCATATGTCTTTCAAAATTTACTGATGCCTTGACTTTTAGCTTTGACAAGTATAGAACAAATTGGGTAGCATTTAATTTATTTTAAAAAGAGGTGAAGAAGGGGAGATGTTAGAATATAGCAAATGAAACATGAATAATCAATCCAGGAAAAGCCATGAAAAAAATAGTATCACATTTTCTGTCTTTTTTTTTTTTTTTTTTTTTAAGAGACAGGGTCTTGCTCTTTTGCTCAAGCTACTAGAGTGCAGTGGTGCGATCATAGCTCATTGCAGCCTTGAACTCTTGGGTGCAAGTGATCCTCCTGCCTTAGCTACTTCTCAAGTAGCTAGGACTACAGGTGCATGCCACCATGCCTGGATAATTTTTAATTTTTTTGTAGAGAGGGGGTCTTGCTCTGTTGTCCAAGCTGGTCTTGAACTCCTGGCATCAAGCGATCCTCCTCTTCCCGCTCTGGCTTCCCAAAGTGCTGGGAGAGCAGGCAGGAACCACTGTGTCCAGCTTATTTTCTCTTGTTTTTAGGCTAGTTGTATTTGTAAAGCTTCAAACCTACTCTAGACATATGTAAGCACTGAAAAGATTCTCTTCATTACCGGAATAAGCAGACAGTAAAGTAGGGAAGGCCCCTCTTAAAAACTTAGTGTAGGTCACTAAGCAAATTGCTTGTTCAGAATGAAAGGGGGCCTGTTATTGCTACACATTTATAAACGAAGCTTCTTAAGATCCATTTTTAGTGGTTCTCAAAATTTAGTGAGCAGAAGGATCACCAGAAATGATGTTTGGTAAAAATACAGATTCTAGGGTCTTACCCCAGGAATACTAAAATTCTGCTTCAGTAGGCCTGAGGTTAGGCCTGAGAATTTGCTTCTTTCACCACCACCCTAGGGAAACAGTGCCCTGGATCAATTCTTTGAGAAATACTGCTCTTGAACACAGTCCTCTCAAAGCAACAGATAAATGGGTGTGAGGTTAGTCTTCCCCACAAGCCTATCAAAGTCACTCTTAGTTAATTCCTATTTAGGGGCAACCTGAAACCCTGGATGTCAGTCCTGAATAAGATTGAAGGAAGTGGCTGAGTTAGCAGAGGTTTGACAAGAAGGAAGTGTGCAAAGCAAAGGACAGAGAAAATGCTAGTGGCCTAGCAAGGTTAGGGTACCTACCTTGGAGGAGAATACCCTACAAAATCTGTCTGAGGGGTTTATTAGGAAAGGACCATTGTTTGACCCCCTCCCCCAAGTAACAGAAGTTCAGGAAAGAGCAAGGACACTGTAAAGGAATTATGAAGCTACTAAGGTTTTTACCTCAGAAACAAAATGCCTACCTTTCTCTGAGGAGTTCAGGACAAGTTGGAGTTGTCAGTAAAAGTTATTTTATAAAAGTGATTATTCAAATGCTTCAAATACCCACCAGTCTGTGTGGGTCTTGGAGGGACAGGGGGAGAGATAAGTTTCCCACTATCCGACATGTTCTTGGCTTCCTTCCCACTGTCCAGGCTCCAGCTGCTAGGAGTGGGATTCACAGCTGGAAGGGAATAACACAGCTAAACACACACAGTCCAGCTTTGCCCTTAGAATGCTTGAGATCTTAGAAGAAAGAATTATCCAGAATGAAAAAATTAGCTGGATTAAAAAAAAAAACCCAAACAGAAAACCTCTTGAATACTAAACCTTTATTTAATTGGCTGCCTTCCAGGGATAGTTGACATTTAACTGGGTGACAGCACATCTCTTTATTTCCCTCAAGTTGTCAAACAGAACTATAAGTCTCTATAATGGAGTGTAGAAACTTGTTGAGAATTACAAGTGTGTTTAGATTCTGGGTAACAGAAGACATGGTCACTAGACTATTTTAAAACTTGGGTTTTAGTGGAAATTTCTGGACAAGTGACACCTAAGAAAAGACAGAAGGCAATGACATACTAATATTTTAATTATTTGGCAGAATTCTTGGGAAAGAACAGTCATGCCACATCATCTCCTTGGCGAAATCTTTGAGGAAAGAGCTCTTATTTCTGAAACCCATGGATTACACTGAAGTATATCCTAAAAGACTAAGTTGGAATACTGAATATATCGTTCTTATTTTGTAATCTGTCTGCTCTATGCTTCAGTAAGATGCAGAACTATGCAGCAACCCTGTTAGGAACAAGGGCAGAACATAACAGTTTGTAAGGAGCCGCTATGCAAATAGGTTTACAAGTCTTGGAGTTCCGGCGGCTTACTCCCTGTGCTGATACTGCCATCTGATGGACATGCCAGGGATTTCAACATTTTACCACTAGCACTTTCATTAATGGGATAGTGTCACCACTCTTAAAATCCGGGATGAGAAAAATATGGCATTCCTAAATTCTACTGATAAAGATCAATGTTTGCTTTATAACGTTAAAGCTTATTTGTATCTTAAAATAATTTTGGCTAAGGCCTCACTGATTTCTGTATCCCAAGGAAGGTTTTAATGTTAATGTATCAGTGTACCCAAATGACAATACAGTCTAGTTCTTAATGAGGGCAATTAAAGCACACTTTCCCAGCATTTGTCATTAGCGACTCTTGATTCATTTCCTGGGGAGCCACTCCTATTTTTGAGGCTCAACCCTGGGAGCGGCGAATAGATGACTGGCTGCAAGCCCCTACCCCTGTAGTTGAGGAAGTCTCATTTCAGAACTCTGCCGTGCTGCACAGACTGATACTAATTGGCTATTTACTGCTATGCATGGGTTTGGTTCTCTTTTTTGTGTGACCTTGAGGCAGGGCACACTCCATTATGCACTGGGTTGCCATTCTTAAATGGTATTTAATTGTACGAGAGCTGTATCTGAGTCACCACACACGACAGATGAGCTGGAGAATGAGCTTTGTGAGGGAGACAAAGGATGGGACCACAGAATCAGTCTGAGGAGATGTTATTTTCATCATGCTGAATAAGGAGCCTAATTGGCAACTTCGTTTCAGGAAGAGCAGACATTGCCTTGGTGACTCGCTGAATGACAACAAAAAGCCATTAAACGGGGGAGTTCCTAACTCACTCAGATTCTGCTGTTAAATCTTATAAGAAAATGGTTTTTGAAGAATGGATCATAAATGACTGTCTTTCATTAATCCCCTAGTCCTGACCATCAAAGTTCTGGAGCCCTGCCTTCTACATAGACACATGGAAGACTGAGAAAATGAGGACAAAACAAACCCTTCCACATTCCAGGGCTGACAAAGGGGCTGGCTTCATACCCACCTTTCTCAGGTGCAGAAAGATTTGGGTCACTGCGTGGCAAGGCCCCATCTCCAATATGATTAAACAGCATCCTCTGGAAAGGTACAAGAGTCTATTTTTATGATGAAATATACTGACATAGGAGACCTTTCAGAATATGAGATGATTATCTTCTTAGTGAAACATTTTATTCAAAATAATGTTATATGGTATGATGAGCCTAGGAACAAAGAATTCAGTTACATTTAAGAAAAAAGGGGAGAAGAGCTTTAGGTTTTAAGAAAAAGAACACAGTGTTTGAAAAGTTTGTATTAATTTTAAATATCAGTGATAAACATTCATAATAAAACATAGGGTAAAAAATAAATAGTAAATAAAATAAAATAAAAAAATTAAAAGGTAAATAGTAGCTGAACTATGGTGTTCTTTATAAATATAAATGCTAGACTGGCAATATGAAACACAAGTAAGAGTTAAAGGAGAAAGGTCAAAAAATCATGACTGAATGGACTTTAACCCCTGCACATTTAAAATTCTATATTATTGAATGTTCCCAACACAGTAAAATGATAAATGTTTGAGATGATGGATATATTAATTACACTGATCTGATCACTATACATTATATGTATCAAAATGTCACTATGTGCCCCATAAATATGTACAATTATTATATGTCAATTTTAAAAAATAAAATCATTTTTCAAATCCTATATTAGGCAAAAAGCATATGAAATGGTCAATATTCTACAATTTTTAACCTACAAAAATGCCAGTTTTACATGGTTCTACTGCATATATTAAAAGAAAAAGTGCCAAGTCCTTAAAAGTAGATGTGCTATAGCAAAGTGTACTATTGAAATTTTGGTAACACACACACTGTGCTTCCGATTTTACCAGAAGCAAACTAATTGGGGAAGGCTTTCAGAGTTCACCATGCTGGCTACATGTTCTCCTGGAGCAGATGGAGAAACAGGGAAATGCCCTCACGACTTCAAGTGACAAAGGGAAATAACACTGGTCAGCTGGTCCTGCCAAACGCACTTGGACACAATCTCTGCAAGACACCAGTGTCACACAGAGGAGGTGTCCCAGGACTCCAGGGAAGATCACACAATCAGCAAAGAGAAACCATTCGAGCCAAATCCCACTCACTCTGATCCACTTTCAGATGCAGCTACAGACATCTGCCAGGATGGTGTAGAAAAACAGAGAAACTAGCTAAAGTGGAAATAACTATTTTTCTAAATTATCCCAAGTAATCTGTCACGCTCTGGGCTATACATAAATCTTCAACTTTGAAACCACCCTTCAAAGCCTTTGCAGTGCCCCAGGGCCAACCTCAAGCCCCGCTCTCACTCCTACTAAGAGGGCTCGCTTCAAAACCGACTTCAGGAGGAGGGTGAGGGCCATGTTCCCTCACTTCTGTGAGTTGACAGGGAAAACCCAAGGACTCAACCGGCCTTCCCTCAATGAATTCAGGAAGAACGGCAAAGGCAGACGGGAATTGCTCGTGCGCTAGCACGTACCTCAGAAAGGAATCGATGGCAGCTCTCTGCAACAGGTACAGGCAAAAGGCTACGGGGCAGCAGCTTCTCCTCAAGGCTGTTTTGCTAATGTAAGAAATTCCACTGGATTTCTGCTACACACTCATACAAACACACACGCACCCATACAAATACACACACACCCCCATACAAACACACACACACAGACATTTCATTCACCCAACTGTCCCTTGACACGTTTAAGCAGCAGTGAAACATGAAGTCAGATCAAGGAGGGTAAAATTTCCCATTTCCCTCTCAGCTTTGCTGCTCAGGTGACAAACCACGTGTCCCTGACAGAAATACAACTCATACAGAAATTCCTAACAAAGGCCTGAGAAGAGAAGTGCACTCTTCACCAGGCTGGACTTGTCTGACACTGCCCAGCTGGCTGCTTTTGGCAGCTCCAGTGTGTTTCTGCAGAGAAAAGTGAGCCATCACACTTTTCCTTGTTTTCCAGTTTCCCCATCCCACCATGAGTACCTGGGAAGGCTCCACCGGTGTTGGGTAGATGGCACTGCATGGTCTCTCTCTTGGGGACAGGCAGGAGTTTTCTCTGGAATGTTTGTGTTTGTCGGACAACAAGGGGGAAGCTGGGAAGAGAAGGGGAGGTAGAGTCATCAGCGTGGTGGACCTGTCTGGAGGAGAGAACCCGAGTGTGCGGCAGCTGCCGCAGTTTGGGAAACTGAAGCCCCAGTTTTCGGGGGCTGGAAGGTTCTGTGGGTACCATTAGTCTCCCCCGCACCCTGGCACTGACCTCTGGCACTCGATGGAGCAGAACTTGTCACATTAGGCGAAGCGGAGTGAGTAGAACTCAAGCTTGAGGTAGATGGGCTTGGCTGCAAATACACAGGGAGCTGTTATCACACCCCAGGTAGAGGCGTCACACAACACTGACATATTCGAAAGAAAATCAACATTTTTCTTCACATTAGCAGAAAAACAAGAAAGAGAAGGGGAAAAAAGGCCATTTAGAAATATACAAAATGCTTGCTAACTAAGACAGGTAAAGAGGCCTGTCTGAATTAATCAAGAATCTGAGATTTTGATTGCTGCCAAAGGAATGCGTTCCCATTAGTTCCAGCTATGTACTGTGACTTCATATCATGTAGCAGTGCATTCCCCGACTACAGTATAAGCAGAAAGACTTCCAGCCTAGGGCATACGAATAGGTGAGTGCTTTTAAAAGGCATAGAATGTGCTCTCTCAATATCTTCAAAGAGTGTGTTCAAAGCATGAATTTGGAAATATGTGTTATGCCCCCTTTCCAAAGATAGTGGTGTGGAAAATTTCAGCTTAGTCTTACTAAACTATCATAAATGCTGTATTAGCAGGTCTAAATAGAATGTTTTGTTGCAAGAGTTATACTGGCTCTAAAATCCCTGAAAACTACATTTTTTTCTTATGTAAAAAAAAAAAAAAGAAACCTTTCATTGCAGAAATTTTCCAACATGTACATAAGTAGAGAGAATGTGGTAACAGACCCTCAAACCATGTCTTCTTAAATTAAAAAAGCCACTTAGAAATGCTAAGAGGCAGCTAGCGGGGGGTGATGTGGTCCGAGAGTCCTGGACTAAAGAAGCAACTGGAAACAACAGGGTCTCAGAGCTGACCCAGCATGGCCCGAGCTTCTCTATCGCTTGCTCATGTCTTCTTAGAACGATGGGGCAATTTTGAGAGAAACATCTTCGTAGACTCCCGAGAACAGTGAAGCAGTAAGAGCGCTTAAAGGTCTGTCCTTATGTCAAGTCCTTGTCCTTAGGTCTGTCCATAAGCACAGCAGAATGAACAGAAACGCTCATGATTGAGACAGAAAAGGAATAAACACAACCAGACAAAAAGCTCATTAAGTACCTGCATGTTAAAGACTTCATCAGAGCTTTCTGATTGCCCTGTAATATTGCTTACTTCAGCAGAAGCTTGTGAGGACAGTGAGGAGGAAGAGTAGCGGTTGACAGCTGGGTAACTTAATGGGCTGTTCGGGGAGTGGGAGGGGGGAGAAAAAAACAGGTCGTTAGCTCAGTCTCCAAATTGCACTTCATCATATGCTGGAATGGTATAACACTAAAGGGGAAAAAAGTACAGCCCATTTTGTTGTCTCCTGTTTGCCTCAATATAATCAAATGTTTGTGTTTATTTATTTCCCATGCTGCTGCTGTTTGAGCAGTGGCAGATGTCTGCAGCTGCCTCGCGGGTAAATTATTTCATTAAGAAATAGCGTATTTGACAAATTGTGCCATAAAGAATGAGAGAATCATTCCAGATCATCTTGTGGGAATGCCAAATTGTGAGATAATTTGGAATATGACTTACCTGCGTCTAGGAATTACCCTGGTACCATCTGGGCTCATAGAAGCAGGTGCTGAGTTTCTACATACACGAGGGCTGCCATTAGGAAAATGGACGGGGCTGGCTTGTATACACGCAGAGAACTCCTAAAGACGTGGCAAAGAAAACATTTCCATGCAGTAATGATACCGGCAAAATAACTCATGAAAGATTTCAGTATGCTAGATATACATCCTCATTGTCATGGAATCTTTGTAGTATTAAGCCTTCCCTCACTTTGCATTTTTGTTTTCATAAAAGGTAAGCGTGGCAAATAGCAGAAAAGGCAGTTTTGATATTTGAAGGTTCTCTGCTAAAACGGTGCAGTTTGGTAGAAAAACCAAAAGATGTCACTATTGGATACCTCATTGTGCCTCTAAGCAGCAGCAAATGGCTCTGGTCAGACTGCCCGGCCATGGATATTTAGTGTACGTACCTGAATCCCTAAGCTCGACTTCATTACAAAGAACTGGTCGACCAGCTTTTTGTGGAGGGGTCTCATATCCTGAGGGACGAACTTCTCGTGCACAGCCAAGCCAAATTCCAGAATCTGTGCCTGGATGGAGAAAACTCACGTCAGTGACCGCCTCTCATGAAGCGCCTGCTGCAGACCCAGCGTGCACTGTGCATTTTGTTCACATTATTGCTAATCCTCCAGATCTGACAGGGCAGGATCAATTGTCACGTTACAGGTGAGGAAACTGAGGATCTGAAAGGTCTTGTATAAAGATGATAATGGGGACTTGAACGTGGATCTGTCTGATTTCAAAGTCTTAATTTTCCTGCTACCCCAAGCATCTTTCCCATGTATTTCAGATCTGTCATTACAGCCCTTATTAACAGTTATGTCTGTGGGCTCTTCCCGCCCTTCCTGCCCCTGGGAAAGGCAGGAGCTGCTCCCTGTCAGGATGGCTGGGCATTCTCCCCTCGGCATCTCTTTCTGGATGGCGCCCTCTCTCCCACGTCACCCTTCTCTCCTCCACCGAGCTCTTCTGTGCTCATCCATCCCTCCCACAGATTTTCAAAATCTGTCAGGGAGGAAGGAGAAAATAAACAGGAACTCTGTAACAGTTGCTACGCTTCTTGCTTTTGTTTAAAAATATTATTTCTGTTCACGTACTATAATGCTACAACGGAGCAGGTTCTCTACCCTGACAGAAAGTTTTCCTGCTGTGAGGACCCAGAAAGAGATGAACATAAACATTCAGCTTTCCTTTGTTCAACCATCAAATGCTACTTTGATTTGAGCAGCAGCTGTCTTTCACATGGTAGAAATGCCCCCGTGCTAAAGTGGCCAAAAGAATAAATTCCACAGGCTGAGAAGAAAACAAATCCCATGTCACCACAAAGTCTTTTATCTTTGCAGCTTGTGAAGATTCGAGGTTGAAAGCTCAGGTCAAACGGGACTGACCCTGGGCGGCTGGAGCCTCCAGCACCTTCCCGAAGGGACAGAGCTGTGGCAACTCCCACTCTGGATGCCCAGCCACTGCCAGAACGTTTGTATGAAGAGAAAAACACCGCAAAGTACATATCAAGGACACCTTTAAAAGTGGAGCGTATGTCCCAGGCGTCAAGGGAGAGGGTGGCTGGCCTCTGTGATGGGAGGTGGAAGGGACACAGGGCTTGAGCCTAAATGTAGTGACCACCAGTCTTCTTCATTTTAAAAACCAGTTCTTAGGCGACCCTCCCTTTTGTTCAGAGAATGCTACAAGTTGTTTTCTCCAGGAAGGAGACTCTGGCATGAAGATTAGGGTGTTTACTGGGGATTATCTGTGGGAGGGAGGGGCAGAAGCAGGACTTGACAAAAAGAGCAAATGAGCTGCACAGCAGTCCTGCCAGCCTCTGCCAAACCCCAGGCACCTCTGGAGTGTCCTGGTCTGTCAGAACTGTCCTGGGTTGGGACCCCATGTGCCAGGCTTTCTATCTTCCCTTCAGTCTTGTATGTGAGCCATGGAGAGGGCAGTGACCTACAGCTGAGGCAATCCCTGAAGGGCCCGGCAGCTGCAGGTGTTACCGAAGGCCACACTTCCAGCTGCTGAGGCAACAGGTCCTTCCTGGCGGGAGCATCAGGGCACTGCACCTCCGTGTCCACTGGGCAGTTCCTGTGAGGTCCAGGGAAGGACGGGGCCCCTCCAGTCCAATCCCCCACTTGTCACTGTCACAGAGATGGAGTGACTTGCCCAAGGTCACAGGACGGTCACTTGTACGGCATGTCCCATGACAGAGCGCTCACGCTTGCTAAGCCATGACTGTTCCCACAAGGTCCCAGGAACATGATCAGGCGGGACATCGAAGGAACATAAAGGTTCCTTGATTTTATATTTCCTGAAAAGCTTTTTGGCTCTGAGCTACATTTTAATTTTGGGGAAAGAATTTTCAGTCAGGATGAATACAAAAGATACAGTCCTGGGATGAAGCAAAGAGACGGTGCTCAGCTAAAATACAGATTTCTAAAAATCAACAAAGGCTAACGTCATTCCATAATCCCAAGTATTGGATTACCTAAACTGCTCACTTTTAACTCTTTGCACTCGCTTGCTTTTTTCTCGATTCCTTTATTCTACTCGGGATTTAATTTTTTAAATACCCCAGATTTTACAAAGTGCGGCAGTAGAATAAAAAATTGGAGTTTCTTTTCATGCCAACTTATTTATTTGGATTTCTTTATATTTCAAATTATTGATACATTTAAAGAGTGATTTTAATTTCTATAATTTTTCATGGTGTGATATTTTTTGAAACATTCACCCACATGAAGACCTGGTTTACATTCACATGTTTGGCAAATATAAACCGTCTCTCTTCTTCCTCCTTTGATTTTTCTGTTAGAACAAACAACACAATCTTTGTGTTTTTTGTTAGGGTGAGGTGTGATTATATGGAGCATCTAGACATTGCTCTAAGTTAGTGGATAATAATCTATCCCTGGAAGTTAGTGTACCATCTCTGCATTTACATTTTACTTGTCCTTTCATGCTAATGAAAACAAGAAAAGATACTGGAAAAATAGACAAAAAAATCCCCCTTCCCCCTACGGTGAAACTACCTGTCGAGTGTGGCTCAACATACGAGCTGCTACCGATGTTAACCGTGTCGAGTCACACTCGACTTCCGAGTGCAAAGGGCTAGCATCTATGTCATGCCCCGGGTCACACTGGGAACTTGGCTTAGTCTCTATTTCTTTGCAGGTCAACTTCAATTAATTCCTCTCTCTTTTCCAGAAGCTGTACCGGAACCTACTCCAGCCACAGCCTTCACCCATGGCCACCTCTCCCCACCCAGTATTAGGTTTTGTGGACTTAGCCAATAGATTATAAAATATAGACTAAAACCAGACACAACCTCATCATTTTCTGATCTAACAGAGCATCTTTTATTTATTAATGTGGTATAATCAAGTGGGAAGAGATGTTTTAGTCACATTTTATCATACATATTCCACTTTTTGTGGGAATAAGATATCTTTATTTCCTATTTAACTCAGCCTTTCAACCATGTCTCCTACCTCGGAGGTTTTCAAATCATGTTCAGGCCAAGAGCTATCAGTATGGACACAGTAGGCAACAGATTACTCACTCCAGTTCTTCGTACTTGATGGTACCAAATAAATAAAAATAAACTACACTTCTTTGGAGTAGAACGTGATGATGAGTTGTGTCTCATTCTGTCCATATGATATAATCTATAGGCTTAGTCTGTAAAACATGATACTGTTTTAAAGCAAAGTCTTTTGAGTGCCCACTTCCTTATTATAACATATTAGTAGCAATATCGTTCATTCATGCACTCACATTTTGAGTTGGCCTGAACTTACCTGTGCACAAAATTTTGAGTGAAAAGTCAGTATCAAGCTTACAGTAAATATTAGGGAGAAAACATTCAAAGACTATTTAGGAAACTACATATAGTTGTTTGTTACACAGGTTAAGTATCCCTAATCCAAAAATCCAAAATGCTCTAAAATCCAAAACTTTTTGAGCACTGACATGACACCACAAGTGAAAAATTCCACACCTGACCTACATGTGATGGGTTGTAGTCAAAACTTTATGTGCAAAATTATTAAAATTGCTGTATAAAATTACCTTCATGCTATGTGTATAAAATGTGCATGAAACATAAATGAATTCTGTTGTTAGACTTGGATCTTATCCCTAAGATATCTCATTATATATATGAAAATATTCCAGAATCCAAAAAAAACTGAAATCCAAAACACTTCTGGTCCCAAAAATTTTGGATAAGGGATACTCAGCCTCAATGGGCTGCCATAGTCTAATCACTGCTAAGTTAATTTTTGTATCCAAATGGGAAGAAAAAGTAGAAATTAACAAGTTGTGATATATTACAGGAATCCATAACCCTTGACCAACAGCTTCAGTAAGACCACTGATGTAAAAAACCATGCAGATGGGTCTCTAGGTAAGTGAGCACATATCCAGGCATGATAGAGAGAAGGTGATTGGCTTCTGCCTCCCTTACCTGCTCAAGCATCAGCTCTCTTAATCGTGCAATTTTCTCCCCATCTTCAGGGTGACTTAAGATATATTCTTTGACAAAGAATGCCTAATAAGAAAAGGGATAGTCAGTCTACTTCAGGAGAGTTACAGGGGAAGTGAAAGATACACTTGTTGCTTTTAAAGACCTGGCATCTTTAAAGAAATGACACCATTCTAAACCACATTTAGGGACAGATGGAGTGATTCCTACTGTAGGTGGTTGGTCAGAATGGGAACAGAAGGAAAGGATTGTTAAAGGAAGATCAGCAATTGTACAATAAGTACCCTTGGTAAAATAAACAAAGGACAAGCTCAATCTGTAAGCTATATGGCATTCTATCCTAAAATAAATTGCCTGAAGATTCAGTGTGACCTAGATGGTGGCCTCACCTTCCAGGCTATTATGTCTTTCTGTTTAAAACTAAGAGGGCAGATGAAAAGTCCACTTAAAGTATCTTCTATACAAGATTAGACTTTTCTATGTCCATGAACCTGTTTGCTCAGGGAAATTATTTGAGATGGACATTTATTAAACAATCCTGATCTCCCTTTTATTCATGCAAACACACACACACACATTTTCCCAAATTATTACATGTTGGAAAAACAGAGTAAGTGGCATCATAAATAATTATATGTTTGCTCTATTTAAGCAAACAAAGTACTCTATGTTAATTGTAGCCCTATGTTTGCATGCTGATATGGGCATATATTTTGAAAATTCATGAAACCCTTTGAAATCACAAAACTTTCTAGCAAACAACAATACCTAATCCTCACCTCTTGGTACCTGGAAACTCCACCATTAACTGCGGCATCTATGACTCCATTCAGGCACATGGTCAGGGGATTAATATTCTGCATCTGTCTCGTCTGACACTGACTGATCAGGGTCTTCAGCTGCTGATTCTTATTTTCCAACACTTCAATTGCATTTTCCAGAGGACTCATTTCTACCTGAGAACAAAATGAGCATAAATATATAGTGAGTTTTGTGACACTTAAGAAGACAAAGTAGATTATGCACATTCTCAATTATCTGTGCTCCCTGTGAGCTCCCATCAGCATCTCTACCAGGGACCATCCAGTAGAATAGATGAGGATGCAGAAGTCGAGTTAGCTGTTCATTAGTAAGGTGTGAAAAGGGCAGGTTAAATACTCATTGGTTGAAAAATGCTTTGGATAATCAGCAATCAGCAATTTGATATCAGCATCACAATAATCAATTTAATCCTTAAAGTAATATCCAAGCATCTCATGTCTTTTGAAACCAGTTTTTCTTTTCTTTTGAAGGGCTAAATATTCAGAAACCCTGAATGTTATTATAACCTTTTTAGATGCTTATTTGAGACAAAGCACCATGGGAGATATAAAGATGCATTTATAGATCCTCTGATGTCAAGGAGCTTTCAGCCCTGTTGGGAAGATTAGACATATGCCCATATGAACCCCATATGTGTATATAACAGCACCATAAGGTGGCACAGGATGGCATACAGTTGGGAATTATAGAAAACAAGATAATCATATATAATGCAGGATCCATTTGTTGAAGGAGAGCCAAGTAGAATCATAATGACTTAAAAATTCTGAGTTGTATGGGGGACCTAATTGTGAAAATGATAAAAGTGCTCTTCAAATATATGGCATCGGGACTGTTACTGTCATTGACATTCTCTTTGAAGAGAAGGTCTGCCAAGCTCTCAGCAATAAAGTAATTTAGGCTTACAATAAGCACATTTAAATATTGGCTCTTTCAGTTAAGGAAACAAATTAGAGTTTTTAAAGGTCACTTAGATGATCTTAAACCAACACTGAAAAATCCTACAATAATTTGACTATATCAAAATTAAGAATGAACATTCATCAAAGCCATAACAAGAAGGTAAGATAAGCTTGAATAAATGAGAAGATATTTATAACATGTATAACCATCAAACAACTCATGTCCAGGATAAAGACTATTAAAAACCAGTAAGAAAAAAGCAATCCAATAAAAAACGAGCAAAAGTTTGAACTGCCACTTTACAAAGGAAAAAATTCAAATGGCCAGTAAACACATTGAACCTCATTTGTGATCAAAGATGTGAAAAATAATACCACAATAACATACCACTAAATACCCACTGGAATGGCAAAAATAAATATAATAATAGCAAATGAGAGTAAGAATATGTACAACAAAATCTCAATTATTACTGTAAGAAGTTCAAATTGGTTCATTCACTTTGGAAAACAGTTGGAGGTCTGTGTGTGTATATATCTATCTACACATGTATCTCTGTCTCCATATAGCTTATGATCCAGAAATTCTACTCCTAGGCATATATCTGAGGAAAAGTGGAATAGGAGATATGTGCACATGTATACCAGGAAACAGGTACAAAAATGTTCACAATCGTCTCCAAAATCCATACAGCCATTGATAAGAGGATACATAAACATGTTGTGGTATGTTCATACTATTAAAACAAACTTCAGTCACATGCAATAACATGGGAAAATATTACAAATAATAATACTGAGGCTGGGCATGGTGGCTCCTGCCTGTAATCCTAGCACTTTGGGAGGTCAAGATGGGAGAATCACTTGAGGCCAGGAGTTCGAGACCAGCCTGAGCAAGAACAAGACCTCCTCTTTAAAAAAAAAAATACAAAAATTAGCTGGGCATCATGGCATATGTCTGTAGTCCCACTACTCAGGAGGCTGAGGCAGAAGGATCACTTGAGCCCAGGTTGAGGATGCAGTGAGCTATGATGAAGCTACTGCTCTCTAGTTTGGGAAACAGAGCGAGATCCTGTCTCAAAACATCAACATCATCATCATCATCATCATTGAAAGAAACATATCTCAGTATGATAAACATAAACAGTATGATAGCATTATGTGAAGTTCCAAACCAGGCAAAATTAAACTGACTTGTTCGGAGACAAACAGGTGATAAACTAAGCAAGGAAATGAAAACTGTAAAAGTCAGGATAGTGGTTACCTCTACAGGGAAAGAGAGGGAGTACATGAGAGACTTCCAGATGCTGTTGGCAATGTTCTGTTTCATCACTTGAGTGGTAGTAAATAGGTATTTACTTTCTAATTATTTGTGACATTAAGCCTTTATTTTATGTACACAAAAGCTAAACCATAAAGGAAAAGTCTGAGGGCTGTGATTAATTGAAATTTAAAAAGTAAGCAAAATATCTTAGAGACAGAACATAGAATGGTGGTTGCCAGGAAGTGGGGAAAGAGGGAAGAGGGGCATTGCTATTTGGTAAATACAGAGTTTTAGTTTTACAAGATGAAAAAACTAGAGTCTGCTGTACAAAAGTGCACAGGTAGTTAACACTACTGTACTGTGCACTTAAAAATGTTACAGTAGTAGATTCTATGTGTTTTTGATCATAATAAAATAAAAAATCTATCTTAATCTTTATAAATTCCAGTGCTATTAATATAATTTTTTTTCTAAAAAGCAAAACAAAATATAATAAACACAGACAAAAGACAACAACTTGGGAAAATATTTCTAACCTGTAGTTCAGACAAAGTGTTAATATTTCTCAAATACTGAAGAATAGACAAAGGGGCTGATCAATGCATTCATAAAAGAAATAGAATAAATAAATATGTTAAAACATATCTTTGCTAGCTAGCATTCAAAAAAGCTGAAATAAAATATTCAAGTCTAGTGTAATCATTTTTGGTCTTTGGTCTTCCAAATCATTATTTGGAAAGATTAAAATAATATACAACATGCAGTGTTGGAGAGGGTGCTGGGAAAATCATGTTCCTAAGAACAGTTATCCCCTCCAAACAGGGTGAAAACTGATATATCCCATCACTGATCCATGAATCAAAGGTTACACTGGGGATATTTTTGATAGGTTAATTCACTTCTATCTAGAGAAATAATTATTAGGAGATAGTCAAAGCATTGTGCAGAGTTATGTGTATAAGGAATGCTCTTCAAAGAGTTACTTTCCTTTAGCTCCTACAAGGCAACCTTTAAACACTGTTTATCACTGAAAAGAATCAGAAGTCATTGGAGAAATGGTTCTCTCAGGTCTGGGGCAAGAGATGTACAAGTGAGCCTGGACCAGGAAGCTAAGAAAGCATCTTGCCTGTGATTCATTCATTCTCTTCATTGGGGAATGTCCTTGGGGGACAGAAAAGAAGACAGGTGACCAGGCCTTATCTCTTTCTCAATTGAGCCTTCAAGTAAATAGACTAAGAATAATTGTTAGGATGAAGACATGTTATTTATTGAATGTCCTTAGCAGAAAATCCCCAAAGGATTTCTTAAAGTAAATAAACCCAGAATCTATGAGGAATGATTAGAAAATGTCCTTAGAAGCTTTACAGTGAACTCTCTGGAGCATAAAATGGAATGTTTCATAATTTACATTTTATAATTTAAATGGGCCCCCATATGAGGAACCCTGTGAACGTTACTTAGAGACTCCATCTATTATCCCAAACTGTTACTATTGATGTGGGGTAGATGGACCTGGCAGATAAGCGTGGTGTCTAAGAAGTGTCCTGTTTCCTCTGAGCATCCCTACTGTCCTGAAGTTATTTGTAAAGCTTGATGCTGGGGAAGATTGCTGGGTCGTACGTCTGATTTGACAATCCCATCCTGAGTGTTAGCTCAATAGCAAAGACTACTTGGATATTCTGAAAAAGCCTCAGGAGCCAATTTGAAGAGGTTCCCATCAGGCAAAGATGGATTTGAAATTTAATAAGAATAACTTTTGAGTTTAATATGAATACATTTAATAAGAATAAAATTTGAAATTTAATACAAATAACTGCCATAAATTAAAACAAAACAAATATGCTTAAATCTGTGAGTGACTTAATGATACTAAAAACAAACCAACCAAACAAAAACCCCTCTATGGTCAATTTTGTAGGGTGATAGGGAATCAAATTATTATTTTGAAAACTTGTAAATAAAGAGAAAGAATAGAGCATTACCTTTCCTTTCCTATGCCTCACAGTAATCAAATAGTTAGTGAGGTGATGTTTCTCTTTATAGAAGTATTCCAATGAATAAATAAAGATGAAATGGTAAAATATCACCATTTTGTAACCCATAAAAGATTAAGGGATGTGGGCAATGACTGCCAATAGCTGCCAACATCACATACACACAAAGACAACCAGAAGCACGTAACACCACCTACGAAATAGTCTTGCAGAAACAAAACCAAAACATTGTATCTAGCCTCTAGATCTAACTAACTGCCAATTTACAAGAAATGTAGGTGACAAAGAGATATGTTCAACGACTCTACTGGGATGCAATCTGCAAAATCTAGACTTAAGGAAATACATCAGGATAAACCACTTAGTTTCTTCAACAACAAAAAAATTCAAGGAAGAAAAAATGATTCAGAGGGAAAACTATAGATTGAAAAAGATTTAGGAGACATTTCAATCAATCAAAATGTATAGCCCTTTTCTTGGATCTGGATTCAAAGGACAAAGAATGAAACAAACAAACAAATAACTTGATGAAGTGTGAGTGAACACTGGATATTTTAGGATCAAGAAATTATTGTTCATTATTAATGTTATAATAATATTGCAGTTATTTTTTAATACATATATGTACTCAAATATTTATAGATGAAATGATATGATGCCTGAGATTTACTTCAAAATAATCCAGTGTGAGAGGGAGTGGATAGAAATGCACATGAAACAAAATTGGCCTTTTTGATTGGCCTTTTTGATAGCTGTTGAAGTAAGATGATAGTCAGGTAAATCAGGTTCATTATATATTTTTTCCACTGTGTTTGATATAACTTAAGTTTAAAAAGGTCACTGGTTGCTGTGTACAGGAGGGCCTGGGAGGACAAGATTAAAGTAGGAGGTCTCTCAGGAGGTTACTGCAGTCCCCAGGCACTAGCTGATGCCATCAGTTGGGGTGGGGACAAGTGCTTGCATTCTGGATATACAGTATTTAGAAAATAGAGCCACACAATTTTTTCATGGGCATGATGTGGTGTGATAACATTCTCATGATCTTTAGTTGGATTTAAAAAAAATTATTAAAAGGTGAAAGATTTATACTATCTGAAGAGAAACCAGAGTATAAAAAAAAAATCATTATTTATAGATCTTAAACCATAAAATGTTTTGACCTTGTTTAAAAATTTAAAATTGAGATTACTTCTCATGATCAGAAAAAAAATTTTGGCGGGTTTTGAAAACAGAATAAATAAAATACTGCCAAAACAATAGTTCTGAGGCATTGATATATTAACAAAATTTAATAAGCTATTCTGGGCCTGTGATTTATAAAATAAAGGTATGTAATTTCATCTGAAACCTTTGGTGCTACGTGCTTCAGAATTTAGAACTTTTCAGATTTTGGAAAGGTAGTAGAAGGCATACATGGTGCACTGTGTACCCCTCAGCAGTACCTGGGGCAGGTTCCTTTAATTAAATGCATTAATATTTCTGCTGTGAAACATATAAACATTCCTACTAAATGAAATAAAGCTAATAAATGGCCTTATATTTGAACAGCTTGGGTATATTAGCAAATGAATTTCAGAGCCAAATATCTTTTGGTTTTCAGATTTGGGCATTGCAGATAAAGAATTCCAATTCAATTTGGCATAGCTTTATTGAATACCTACTATGTGTTCCTATTCTTGAAGACCTTCATAGGAATTAAACCAGTAAACCATTAACTTTAACATGAATAGAAGGTGGGGACATTCCAGGCAGCAAGAACAAAAGAGAAAAACACAAATGCTGTTAAGAGTGGGTTGTGTTCAGGGAACAAAATAGCTGAGTTTGATTTGTTCTATTTGACAGAACATAAGATTATATATTTTAATAAAGTAGGCAGCTGATGTTTGAAAAGTTGTGCTCCTTTTATCCTTATCAGCATGCTATATTTTATTAGCATTGTGTATGTGTGTCTAACATTTCAAGGGCTAGGGCCCTTGGTGAGACTTCACAGAATTTAACACTCTGGGTAGTAAGTAGCTGAAAAGGCTCTCTGGACCATTACCGCAGCATGGATGACTAAGACTGTTTCTGTGGGTTGGGTCCACGCCATTCAGCAGGAAGCGTAATAAGAAGACTTTGTAAACATGGTGTTCAGCAGTCTCCCTTCTTCCATGGAAGGTACCGGGGTACACTACATAAATAACCAGTTTTGGGGGACACTGGACTCAGACTGTATAAGCAAACAACTATACTGATGTCATCTGCAGAACTGAGTTCACTTTGTTTAGTGAGCCATATTAATTTTTGGTACTGCAAAATGAAAACCCTATTGAATCTTTAGCTTAATTGAACATGGTAAACTGAGGGTAGTTTCAATGCTGAGAGGTTTCATGTAGGACGAGCCATTCTTGAAAGACAAGTTGGGTAAAAGCTGTTCTTACTTTTGCATCGACAGAGTGGGCTTGTGACCTAAATAAGGTATGGGTTACATGACATTTTCACAATTGGCCCATTTTCTACACTTTCTATCAGACAGAGAACTGTGGTAATCAAAGGGCTGGCCTCAGCCATAATGGACGTACCAAAGGAGGAGGAAGGGACATCATGAGATTTGGGGGCTGTGGCTGACATCCAACATCAAGGTGCTGTCAGCTGGAAGAAGAGCACAGACAGCTGGGTGGGGTTGCACCCTGGATGTGGCTGCCTTCAGCCACTGCTGTCCCTGCTCTCCCTAAGTGGGACTGCAGCTGGGGTCACGTTTTACAGCCACAGGGTTCTTGAGTGCTGTGGTCACCAGCTTCTGCAGTGGCGCCCACTGCTCTCCCGCTGGGGCTCCATCCAGGACTGCCTGGAAAGATGACACATCACCCTCCCTTCCACTGGGAACTGTGACAGCACACACTTACTGTCCACCAGGTTCTGTGCGGGGGCTTCACATCAGCCTCATTTGGCCTATAAGGAAACCAAGGCTGGAGGAGATTAACGTGATTGGCTTTGGAATCAGAAAAATCTGGGGTTGAGTCTTTTATCAACATCTTGCTCTGTGACCTCTGGCAAAGACTTTTAACCTTTTGCTAAAAATTGTAAAAATAAAGCTAAGCATATATATCTCATAGCTTTGATGTGATGATTCAATAAGATAAAGAAGGTAACATTGGCACTGGCCTGAGGTAGTAAGCATTGAGAGCCACACAGCTATGGTAACTAGGAGAGCTGGAATTCCAATTCTTCTAGCTCAAGGGCCTGAGCAGTTATTTTATATGTGGCAATTGTGGTTGTTTTCAAGGAAGCCCTCTGGTTGGATGTGCTAGGACAATAGTAATGCTCACCTTCTCAGCCTTGTAATAGCTCAGTATCATAAACATTCACTTTCTTACTATGAGTGTTTCCAGGGCCTTTGAGTCATAAGCAGAAGTAATTAGTATGAGGCACAACTCCAGGTGAGAAAGTGTGATGAGAAAGTGCTTGAGAGCAAGCTCTGGGGCCTTACCACTTCACGCTTCTCCACTTCAAACCAGCGGGAAATGCCAGGCAAGCTCTGCACCAGGTACAATGACGTTCTCTCCACCCAGAGACTCTACAAAACACAACACAAATTAAGCCCTCAAGCTGCTCTTCTTTCTAGCTTCTGATGTTTGTCATCCATTGTTACCAGGTTTTGCTTATTTCTGTCAGCTCTTCTTCAGTCTTCATTTGAAAACTCATGAAACTATCACAGTAAAATATTGCTGAGGCTTATGTTAGAAATTCTATTGCATATCACCAAACTGTTTTCTTCGTAAAATAAATGAGCTCCTACTTCAGACAGCAAGCTAAAAATAGAAAAATAGGACATCGACATTGTTTTCTTTGCTGTTTCTCTAAAATTCTAATTTAAATTCTCTTCCACTCCTCAAGGTCAAGCCATTTTTATCTGGCAAGGGTAACAGTACCAGCCAGTCAATACATGATTAGAATAACAGAATCCTACAGGAAGAAAGGGCTTTAGGAATCACATAGCTTGATCTTTCTATTTTAAAATGAAGGTACTTAGTCTCAAGGAACCAATGCTACCTGCTCAAAAGCTACATTCTCTAATGATCTGCAGAGCCAGCACCAGAACCCACCTAGGAGGACCTGTGATGCTTCCTCCATTGCTAAATCCACTGTGCCACATGTTCTCGTGCCTGTCTGACCTGCTGTGATTGAGGTGAATCTGTATTCTAGAGCCAGGGCTCCCTCTGGCCAGGACACGAGAAACCATGCTGCCTTTCGTACAAGCTGCTGCTGAGGACAGGGTTCTCTTTTGCCAACCAGGTTCCGTTAGCTATGTCTCATCTTCCTTATATAAACTGTGTGTATTCCTGAGAGGGTAATAAGCCTTACAACATTTCTGAAATAGTGCCATTTATTCAAACAACAACAACAACAACAGAAAGGAAGAGTTTCCTTGGGTCAGCCAAGATGTACTGAGAGGAATACGGCAGGGCCCTATGACATGAGGTCACGGTGTCCTGGGGTGACAGGCAGGTAAGCAGAGAAGAGTGCAGAGTGAGGAGAAAGGGAGGCTGCAGGGACTCGGAGGAGGATGCAGGCGTGCACACCAGCCTGGTGGGGGGAGACAGACGTTCTCAGAGGGGGTGACACGTGAGCTGCATTTTGAAGAGTAAGTAGGAGTTTGCCAGGAGGAGAGTGGGGGTGGCGTGCAGGGTGCAGGCAGGAGGAAGCAGCCTGCACAGAGACGGAGCGGCTTGTGAAAGGGCACAGCGAGAGAGGAAGAGGGAAGCTGAGTGTTGCTGGAGCTGGGAGGGAAGGAGAATGAGTGGGTTGTGGCGGAGATGAAGCTTCTGGACGCACAGTTTGGAGCCAGACTCTGAAGGCCACAGGCACAGAAATAAGGAGCCAGATTTATGATTATTATTTTTTAGGGAGATCTCTGTATCACTGATGAATATTTAAAGGGATGGCCACTATGAAATGTGGTGCAGGGGAAAAAGCAACGGAGAAGGAGTCAGAAAATGTGGGCTCCAGTACGGGGTCTACCGGTAATTAGGATGTAACTTTTGAGGAAGCCAGTTGTCTGATTCCAGTGATCTTTGACTACTTTTCACTAGAAGCAATTGCAAGAACTGTATCATAAACAAACTGCATGTTCAACTAATTTTGGAGGGCAAAAAGAAAAATATAAGTATCCTGAAAGGATGACAAAATGATCACGGATCTTTTCAATAATATCCCAGTGATGTTTTCTGATGGTCTCCTTCTCTTGATATTTAGCTCCCAAATCCCCTTGCACAAAGAACTGCTGTTTATTCAGCCCCATCATAACTCTGCAAAGCGATCACAGCTTCTCTTTCTGATCTCCTGGCTGTGAGTAACTCTCAGAGTTACTTCTGGGAGCACTGGAAACTAACACTTAGGCACAGCTGACCACGTGGGTTAACATTAGACATTCGTTACTAACAGTGCTAGGAGAAAATCTGTGATGAAATATCTGTGATGAAATATGCTAAGCCAATTACCCCACAGTGATGAGTTCATTTTGCATTCTTTGTTTAGGCATGAAACTGGGGGATCTATCTGGTCTTACTGTGTCACTGTTGGCAAAGAAAAGGGCAGCTTATAATTTATCTGCTGAACAGTCTTGTTCTTTTCCCCCAGTGGGGCTGTGAGAAATCTTATCCCTTTTTGGCTGAGAGATCGCTGAACAAGCAAGGCATGTTGGAACTACTGAGAGCAGAGAACTCAACACATGCAAAAAGTCCAAGATTTGCTTTTACTCTGCATCCTCTCAGAAGTTCTAACTGCATAGTGTTCTAACAGAAAAAGCAGCAAAAGATGGCACCATACCCGAAGTCTACCCAACTGTTCTCTGTCTCAGGAGCCTCCTTCTCCCTGTTCATTGAATATTCTTTACTCACTACGCTCCACTATATCTGAGAATAAATATCCTTAGGTTCTCACAATTGGTTCAACATGAATGAATGAGAGGCCTGAGCTGAGCTCAGCCATGAGTTCTCAAAGACGGGTCTCGGGACTGCCGGCATTAGAACCACCGCATAAAGCTGATTTTAGGAACTCCTCCCAGACCCTCTGAATCAGAATTCCTGGGCCGGGGACCAGAAATTTTCTTGGTTAGGAAGCAACCCTTGTCTCTCTGATACACAGCAGAGTTGCAGAACCACTAGACTGAATCCTATAGTCCCTTCTGGTTCTATCATTTGATGCTACTCTGAGTAAATATTTGCTAAAGGTCATGTCCCAAAGAGCTCAGAATCTATCTGAGGAGATAGTATGTAATAAAAATAGCATGGTACCTTGAATTCATTCTCTTTATCTTTAGTGCCTTTGTGAAATGGTCTGTCGTAGCGGAATTTCCAGATATGATTCACTTTATAGAAACTTTTGATGTTGTCTGGAACACCCTCTCTCTGCAGGACCTCCTGGCTCTCCGGAATGGGAGTCACAGCATATATCTGCAAATCTAGGATTAAAGAGTCAAGGAGAGAACTCGACTTGGCAAACTCCATGGATGTCTGGCACGATTGGAGCTGTGGCAGAAAGAAGAGGACGGGTAACAATCTGGTGTTTCCATTTCAGTTGAAGTCATTTAAAAAATTGCCAACATGATGCCAAGAACTCAGTTTATAGCAAATCACGTGTCAACCCACAGGCCTTGAACTAGTTCTAGGTAGGTGATTCTGACAAAGTATCAGTTTGAAATATCCATAACGTGTGAATTTATATACCTCTTTTTGATTTTTTTGGTCGGGGTGGTGGGAATAGTTTGAGTCTTAGATACTGAGAATTAGGATAATCCTAACCCATCTTCATGAGATACTCTTAAGTCTGTGCATGACCCTTTCAAATTTATTGATTGCTTATAATAATGTATAAATACTAATGCAACCATGACCAAAGACAGAGACCAGACCACTGACAATGACTTATGTTACCTGTGTGATTCTGTGTCCCCAGCCTTCCCACATTTGTGGTACCTGTTCTCCTGAATCATATCAATAAGCAGAGTGTTTAGTAATAGTTTATATTTTTTAAAATTACATTAGAGGGGTATAATAGTTACTTGTATATCTACCTACTTCTCTTCTCATTCAAAGAAAGACGGAAAAATATTTTTCCTTATGTACTTTCTTCGCTTGCATTTTGATTTCTGTTTTGAAATGGTATTCATCTGTCAGTGGAACTTTAAGGTGTTCTTTAAGACTGTCAGTTTCAAGAAGAGGCACAGGGATTCAGAAAGGAACGACTTGCCTTTGTCTGTAAGGCCTGTGTAATTTCAGTTGAGTTGCTTGTGTTTAGATAATGGGAGAGTGTGAATCATACAGCAATTACTAAAGGCTGCCCAGCATATCATAGCTAAGAGCCCCCAAAAGATATTGGAGTACCTCTTTCTCTTCTATTTGTTGTTTCAGAATAAAAATATTGGAGGCAGGGTCAGGGAAGGGATAAACAAATGTATGTCAGTAAACAGAATGCTATCATGTTCTTGAACTGAAGTGGTTTCCACGGGATATATCAGAGGAAAATTATTCTAAAGGAAATCACTAGATAAAAGAGCTTTAAAAGCAGGGCTGACATACAGGAAATTTTAATTAAAAGGAAAAAAATTCTTTAGCAGAATTTTTAAGGGACTTCTTTTCACCTGACATTATCATAATAAATAGAACAATTAAGTTCTGTTCAGAAGGAGCTAAGCTAACATTAAGATAATGAGAAAGAGGAAGAGTAAGAGCCTGGCTGTTGAAAAGGGACCGGTGGCTGAACAACCTTGCATGAAAATGTTCTGCGGCTGACAGCCAGTGCCATCTCACTGGGACCAGCACTTGTAGGTGTGGATACACTGAGCTTCTGCCTGGAAGATGGTCTCGTCGGGCTGGTTGGCGTGCTGCATGGCTATGGCGTGGGGGAACTCGTTCAGCATCCTCTGCTGGAAGGCTTCCAGCCTCTCATAGTCATGCCCTCGGCACACAAACTCCTTATTCTGGAGATGAAACCAAAAGAGAAATTAGGGCTATGTAACTGAGTGCATTAATTACAGAGAGCAGCCAAAAAATATGACACTGGCATTAACTGACCACATGCCACACATCAATACACTACAACAACAACAAAAAATACCCACACTGGAACAATCTGAAAATTTGACCAAATATTCAAATTGCAGGGCAAATGTCATGAACATAATAACTCCACTCAGTAAGATAAGACCCAGTAGAGTGACTCAGTCTTCCCAATTCATTGGCATAAGGCCCAAAGAGGTGTTGAATTCTCAGAGCACCAAAGTACTATATATATATATATATATTTTTTTTTTTTTTTTTTTTTTTTTTTTTTTTCTGTGGGTCAGGACTCGCTCATTCATGTAAGAATGGTGGAGGTTATTTCTGAGGTAGGCTAAGAGAGCTAGAAAGATGAGCAGGTTTCCAAAAAGTACCTTAATATCCAGTCAGAAATGAGGTAACTCTGATAGTTTAATTATACTGAAATTATAATTGTTGAGCACAGTCACTGACGGAGCACTCTGTACACATCTTATTCAACCCATACAAGCTTGAGAAGATGTCACCCCCACCTTCCAACCCATTTTATAATTGGGGAACCAAGGCTCAAAGTCTTTAAGCACTTTGTCCATGTACACTAGTTTCAAACTCAGGTGTGAGTCCAAGACCTGAGTTCTGTCTACTCTGAGCGCGGCCTGGTATGTCCAGAAAAAAACCCTAGGAGCTACCAAGACCAAGAAAGGTTATGGGATCTCAAATCCTGAAGATCTTCAAGAAAAGGAGAGAGCAGTTTGTGGTCTGGGGGAGATAAGGCCCAAAGTTTTTGGTGTTTTTCAGCTCTATGAAGTTCCTGTTATTATGTAAAATTTACTAAGGAAGAACTCCAGGCCATAGTGAGGGAGTTAGCTCTGAGAACCCACCTCGATTCTTCACAAATCCCTAAATAAATCATGGTCCTTTGAAAAATTCAAGGTAAGGCAGATTCTATCAAGAAATCAGGATACAAAAAAAAATCATATATTTAAAACATTCTAGATAGAAGTTATACCTTCTGATACTGTAGTTTTAAAATTCTACTCAAAAGATAATAAATTTGCTTTATAAAAGATAATACATCTTTCCTTGCATATTACTGGAACCCCAAAATAAATATCCACATATTCTAATAACTCAAATATTTTTAAAGACAATGCTTATACATAATAACAGTTTGTAAAAATCAGGAAAATTACTCTAAGCATATAGGTATTCAATGGTATTAAGAAGTCATTTTGGAATAAAATAAAGTTTTGGGTCTGATATTTAGGTTTCTAAGAAATAAAAAGGAATTAAGTATTTTCTCCCATCAATACCCTTTATAAAAAATCATAGATTTATAATTCATGAGACATAATTCACATATTATAAATGTGCCCTTTTAAAATGTACAATACAGTGGTTTTTAATATATTCACAGAGTTGTGCAACCCTAAGCACAATCTAATTTCAGAACATTTTCATCATCTCAGAAAGAAACCCTGTATCCATGAGTAGTCACTTCCTATTTCCCCCTTCTCTCAGCTCCTGGCAACCACAAAACTATTTTCTGTTTCTATGGATTTGTCTATTAGGGAACTATACAATTGGTCTTTTGTGACTGCCTTCTTTCACTTAACGTCAAATTTTGGAAGTTCATCCATTTTGTAGCATATATCAGTATTTCATTACTTTTTATTGCTAAATAATAGTCCATCGTATGGCTATACTACATTTTGTTTATCCATTCATCACTTAATAGACATTTGAGCTATTTCTACTTTTTGACTATTATGAATAACGCTGTTATGAACATTCAGGTAAAGGTTTTGGCACGAACGTACGTTTTCCATTTTCTTTAGTATATACCTAGGAGTGGATCTGCTGGGTCATATTTGTCAATACTTTTTAAAGAACCCATTTTCTATGAGGAGAAATAAACCACTTAGATTATACAATTGTACAAATATATTAATTTATTTGAGCTTTAAAAATAATCCTGAAATTGATCAAACAATGAAAGAAAGTGTTTAATGTTGGTATTTGTTAATTTTTAAATTGAAGAACAGGCTAGAATGTGATTTCCTCTAAAAAGCTCAGGCCCCAAGATTCTAAAGAGTGCAGTGCCCCTTAGAACCAATAGAGGGTGACCCTTCTCTTTCATTTTGAAGGAAATGCCATTTATATCCAGAAAGCTGTTTTTTAAAAGAAGGATGGTACAGAAGAGTGATTTATACTAATTGGCTTTTTAACAAAATTTATGCTATTAGCTAATGCAGTTTTCTAATTTGCTGAACTCTTTAAAATTATGACTTTTAAACTACTTCTAATTTTCTTATAACTTTACACTTCTAATTAACAGTAATTGCACGTAATAGATGTCTAGGGTGCCTCACTGCATACTTGCCAGTTAAACTCAGAATTTTATCAGAGCTGCATTGGGACTTTTGTGAGCCCTAGGAACTTTTGCTTCCATGAGCCTCTTCCTCCATAAAAAAAAGCATTAAAAATTTGGTTTGGTATATAGATGAATATATCAATATTAATATTATCTAATGCATAACATTCAATATAATGTATAGCATAACATTTTTTTCAACCTAAAAGTTCTTTTTTAACTTCTGATTTTTAAAAGAAATTAAAAGTTTATTGCCCCTAAAAATATTATGGTCCCTAAACACTGTACCCACTGTGCATGATGGATTAGCTAACCTTGGGCATGACATGAAAGAAAACATAATCTTTTACTTTGCACAATTTTGTTCCAACAGAAGAAGGGGATCTAACTATGGCAGAGTCACATCTAGACCCTACTCTGGGGTTTCCAGACCTCTGTGCCTCCCAGAGCTCTAGAATTCCTGTCACTCCACTTGGAAGCTAGATCTAGCCACATGCACTCCTCAGGGGGGTTGGCTGATGACAACTAGCAAAAGTCAGGAAGTGTTCTGAATTTGTCATTGATTTTGATCTGGAATCAAGATTTCCTCCGTTTTTAGGCAGGTCCATCTGCAGAACCAGCTTTGTGATCATGCACAATATTGTGTGTTGTAATGCAACAAGGAGATTTCATATTATGTGTGTAGCACTCAAATACATGGTGATTTCAATCAATTTTTAAAAAATCAACCTATGATTTGAGCATTTGTTCCATTTGATACTCAAATGAATCTTTACCTGTGGTGATTGGATATTTTGGGATCTATCTATCTATCTACCTATCTTTCTTCCTTTTTGATTCTGAAAGGCAGGCAAGTTAATGATTAGGAAACAAACAATAAAGTAAAAATTTTCTCCTCCCTCTTTCCCAAAAAGTACCTCCCCCATCTTAAATCTATTCATATGTGTTGAGAGTTATGGCAAGATTTAGGTAAACACAAATATTAAAATATCTGTATATTGGGATTTAAAGTCATAATTAATTGACTCAGTTCTACAAATTATCCCACTCTTTTTCCTTAGCTGCTCGGGGAAGTACATTTCCTTTTTTTGATCTATGTTTTTATATAAGGAAGATGTTATATACTGAAGTATTCAATAAATATTCAAGCATGTAAGATTCTACTTGGCAGAATGTGAAAAATGGAAAGAATGAATTTGAGTATTAGCATATCTATAAATTTTCTTTTATAGAAATAGAGTTTATACTAGCAATAAAATGGATCTCTTTGGTGGGTGACATTTACATTTTCACAAAGTCATCAAAAAGGCCAATCCTCTTCATATGACTCTGGGGGTAAGGTGTCCACAAGAAGTGAAACTGTGTTGTTTTCTACAGTCTACAGCCCCCCCCTTCTGCAATACCCTGCCATTTTTCTCTGATGCTAACTCTGTGGACACTGCAGACAGAATACGATAGTGAGCATCACATAAGAGAAACTGTAAGTACTAAGGATTCCTCATAAAATTTAGTGAACTTAGAAAGGAGTAGGTTGTTTGATATCTTGAGAAATTATTGAAAACAAGGCATTCTAGATTAATATAGTATTTATAAACTCAAAGGCAAAAAAAAAAACAAAACCTCATCATGTTATTACCTACCTGTTACCTGTGTTATAAAATGTCGTTAACATTTTAGTTTTCTTGATTAGGATATCTGTATTAGAAGTATGAGAGCAAATTGAGTATTAATAGTATATTACTTACTCTTAAGAAAAATGGAAATTTTTTCCCATAAAACCCAACTCTGAAGAACTCTGGTTCAAGACGCTGCTGGTCCATAATTTTGTCATACAAAGAGGCTTCCATCATCTAGAAACGCACAAGAAAAGTTCTAAACATTTTATCTCGTCTTTCCTCTATCAATTGACAGAAGAGGTTTTTCTTCCATATAAAAGAATATGTCATTTTAATCAAGTTTGCTGAAAAAGAGGTCTGACTCCCTTTGTGACGCTTTAGGGCAGCAATTGGCAAACTTTATAAATGTCCAGAGAGTAAATACTTTAGGTTTTGCAGGTCCTATAGTCTCCGTCACAAACTCTGCTCTCTTAGGCCCATAGGCTCTAGTTTGCTGATCCCTGCTTAAGAGATCAAGTGTATTATTACATGCTACCACCAGAGAAAAATTATTTCTATGCACTTAGTCTATGAAGGAAATTATTTTCTTCACAATTAAATAGAAATTAACACAAACTATTAGAAGCAAAACCTTTCTGGAGAATCCTCCTGCCGGATGTACTCGCCTTTGTGAGTGCATTTGCTCCCACCTGGCACATGATAATCCAGGACATTTGTAAGGCCCAACCTTGCACAGGTTGGGCAGGGATAAACCAACAAAACAAACCAAAGGAGACCCATAGTGCAAAGTGCTGTCCGGGCTGCGAGCCCTTAAGTGTGTCTGACGATGCTGAAACTATGAAGCAAATAAAGCTTATAGCTTCCCATTTGTGGTATTATAATCCCCAGGGTTTCTAGAGAAAGACTCATATTGCACTAAAAGACTCCCCCCTACCCTCCCATGCCCAGTAATAGCACCCCAAAGAGCAGTTGGCATGACATGTAATGCTTTGGGTTTATAAAAATCTTAGTGACTATGGCACCTAAGAGCTCTCCTGGGTAAATACTGTCACCTCGCTTCTGTTACATGGACAGGATGCCAAGAGATGAACGGAAATGTTTTTATATAAAACTGCAGCATCCGCCAGAGTCAGCTTGATGGACGAAAGTTAAAACAAGGTTTATGTCTTTGGTTTTCAACTTAGGACAAATATCGATGAACTGTTGACATGACACACTATGCCAGAAGTATAGAGCCAGTTCCTGCCAGTTGAATATATTTTGTGTTGGGGTGTAAGGGATTTTTATGAGTTGTTAAAGGTTTATGGTATCATCTCTTAAATGGCTATCTCAAAATTAAAAGGCAACAATGTAATCTTTTTTTTCAATATATTAAATCTGATGATCCTATTTTAGAAACCCCGAAGAGCCTAAGCACTCAGCAGGATCTTATGTGTTACAAGATGACACAAAATGTTCATGATGCTAAAGAATATAAGGACTTGCCGGGCAAGGAGGACTTGTTTGAATGTAAAAACAAAGAAGGTACAAAACATTTGGTTCAAGGACACAAAATATTAAACTCTTTGAGCTTTTAAGTACTAAAACCTGTGTTTAGGTCTAGCAAATAAAACATATTTCTGAAGCTAAAGAGAGTCAAGAGCAATAGACTTTGGCCCTGAAGTATTTAAAGATGGGTCAGCTAGCCATTTCTACAGATTTGTAGATTATGGGACTAAGAATAGTATATTGTTTGTGTTTAAGTGGGAACTCTTCAAATGGTGTGGAGAATTTCCATGATAAATTAAAAGTATTTTTGCTTTTCTGTATGTGTGTGTGTGTGTGTGTGTCTGTGTGTTTTTGAGACAGGATCTCGCTGTTGCCCCCAGCTAGAATGCAGTGGTACCATTATAGCTCACCGCAACCTCGAACTCCTGGACTAAAGTGATCCTCCTGTCTCAGCCTCCCGAGTAGCTGGGACTACAGGTGTGCGTTGCCATGCCTGACTAATTTATATAAAAATTTTTTTTGTAGAGACAGGGTCTCACTATTCAGGCTGGTCTTGAACTTCTGAGTTCAAATGATCGTCCCACCTTGGCCACTCGAGGTGCTAGGATACAGGTATGAGCCACCACACCTGGTCTTAAACTAAAAGTATTAATCCAGGATTGGTCTGTGTGTTGCAGACGTGGTCTTTTAGAAGAGACTACAGGCTCATTTTTTGTAAATTAATCAAAAGCATGACAAATCAATTTGCTATTTCTCTGTATAAATAGCTGAGTCTGCTTCGGAGGAAACACTTATCTTAAAAAAGGTTTCTATAAGACATATCAAGATGATCACAAAGTTAATTTCATAGAACCAGACTGGAAAGCTAATCAAAAAGGGAGGCCATCACTTGATTAAAATGCATCCAGACACCTTACCCTCATCTTGCTCAGGTTTCTGTAGTCATAATAACTCTCATACTGCTCTGCAATCTTCCGGCACAAGATAATGCCATTTTCCCAGCACTGTGGACAGATGAATAATATAAATATAACCATCCCACAACATTTCTTTACTTCTACCCAAGTAGGACACGAAAGCTTTCAGATTATCAAGTCTTACTCCTTCATCTTTATAACATAACTTTATTCATAGCTCTGCAATTTTAAGCATGGAAATACCATGTAATTAAAATATAAATTATTAAAAATCTTTAAAAAGTTAGAAATGATAACCCACCACAACAATCATTAACATGTAGTAAAAAAATATATATATTTTTCTGGTGTTGCTCCAGAATCAACATCCTGAAATTAGTACAGTTCCACAATGGCCAAGAAGATGGATATAAACAAGCCCTCAGTACCAAGGAGGGAATTAACCGCTGACCCCTAAGGCCCAATTATCCATGATTGGTATCCTGGATTCCTTGCTTGGCACTTGCAAATTGTGCATGGTCTAACTCTGCTGGTTACTCTCAGCAGAAATGCAAAATTCTTTATCTAGCATGGGTGTCAGCAAACTTTTCCTGCAAAGGGCCAGCAGGGGGTGCTGGGGGGGGGAACCCACAGCCTTGGGGCCACATGGAGCCTTCCGGATCCTTGAGTGCCGCCTTTTGACCGAATCCAAATTTTACAGAATAGATCCTTTTAATAAACTGGCAGACAGTTATCATTTTAGGCTTTGAGGGCTATATAGTCTTTGTCACAACTACTCAATTCTCTTGTTATAGCACCAAAGCAGCCATAGACACAGATGAACATGGCTATGCTCCAATAAGAATTTATCTAGGGACACTGAAATGTGAGTTTTATGTAATTTTCACATGAAACAAAAATATTATTATTTTCATTTCTTTCAACGATTTAAAAATGTAAAAGAGATCTGTAGTTTGTGGGCTGTATACAAACAAGTGGTGAGTCATTTAACCTGTGGATCGCAGTTCGCAATTCCTGGTGTAGTACAAACTTCCAGGAATGGGCTAATAATACGAAGCCAGAGATTTTGTAACAGCTTATCCTACAGGTGGAAACTTTAGAGCAGGAGGGCACAAAGACATTTCTTGTGCTATTAAGGTAATGATATGTCAGTGTAGTTAAATAAATAATAAAGGAGGATATGAAAGAAGCAATTTCCTTGCATCAAATTTTTAGGTATACCCAATTACATTTTGTAAGAGAATGACAGTCACTGGTTGTATATTCACTTTCTGTTTAACCTTTGCAATTTGGAGGACATATTTAAATCGACACGTATCACCAAAGCATCCAAGTGTTCAAATCAAATAAACAATGGTTGTCAGATTCACACATTTTAAAAATGAGAACTGCAAGCCATTGAAGAGGGAAAGAAAGTGAAGTGAGGCAATGTACTGAATTGCCCTATTAGGCCAGCAGATTTTTTAATGCTCTAAGTATATGGTAGGATGCCATATAATTCTTTAAATGATTCAGTTTCATTTATTTTACTTTGAAAAAAGTGGGATGGGACAGAATGCATGCCAATTTTGAGGAGGAGATAATGATTTTTCAGAGAATAAAACACCTGGGTGCTACAGTCTGACTGTGTCCCTTCCAAAGTCATATATTGAAATCATAACCTCCAGGGTGATGGTATTAGGAGGTAGGGTCTTTGAAGGAGAATAGATCCTAAGGGTAGAGGCCTCATGACTGGCATTAGGGCCCATATAAAGAGGCCCCAGAGAGCTAGCTAGCCCCTCCCACACAGCACAAAGGCACCACCCATGAGGAAATGTGCCCCCACCAGACACCAAATCTGTTGGGGCCTTGACCTCGCACTTCTTGGCTTCCAGAACTCTGAGAAATAAATTTCTGTTGTTCATAAGCCACCCAGTCTATGGTATTTTGTTATAGTGGCCCAAACAGAATAAGTCACAGGGTATCAAAACCTCTAGATCAGTGTTTATCAAAGTATAATGCAAAGTTCATGCGCTTTGGAATCTCCTGGAGTTCTTGTTACAAAATCACCGGTTCCCTAGAATGTCTGAATCAGAATGTCTAAGGACGGGGCCTGGGAATCTGCACTTCAGCAAGATTTTGGGTGTTTCATTCATTGCACGTTTTAATGTGAGGATCCCTGCTTGAGGAGGTGGGCATCGAGAAACTAGAAATAAAAGGGGGTAGGGACACCACCAACACAACCCCCTCAGGAGGGCAGGGCTGACTTACTTTGCCTCTGTCAAAGTTCTGGATGATGGTGAGGTGCAGGTGCTCCTTGCGCTGCCACTCCGTTTGCATGGGGTAGGTCAGGAACTCCCTGAGGGGCCGGTCAGACCATTCCAGCAGCTCGTCATACAGCAGCAGGGTGTACGCAGCCTCTGCGAGTCAAGTGGGAAGGCCGTGATTGAGACAGGACCCGGACCCTTTCAAATGGGGCCAGTTTTGGACAAACTGGAGAAAATACTATTTTCTGAATTTTATGGTATAGTAGAAAAACGTCCAGAATATATGCAGCAGGTTAATGAATGGCGACTCCCCTCCGATGATGAAACTATCAGAGATCTGTATTTAATCTGTATTAAATACAGATTTAATTCCCTGTATTTTCTCTCTTTTTTGCTTTTCGTTTTAGTTTTCCCTATGATGTATGTATGTTATGGCATGATGAAAACATTCAAGGATATCTTGTTTTGGCTGATTCAAAGATGTAAGGGAAACATGCCTTTGTTTGCCAGGGAAGTTCACTAGTTAAGTCCTTTGGAGGCTATGAATGCCTTCAAAAGGGTGTGCTTAGGAAACACTGAATGGCAAATAAATTCTTCTGGATACTAAAGGGCTGAAATGGAAACTGGTATTGGAGCAGAAAGGGTCAGAGGATAGGCAGAACTTAGAAGGGTCAAAGAAGCCAAGGAGGAGCTGAGTGAAGACAATAAAAAAGAAAACAAAAATCTAGCACAGAAGTAGGAATTGGAGAGGGTAGCCGTGTTGGATGGGGAGTGTGTGTGTGTGTGTGTGTGTGTGTGTGTGTGTGTGTGTGTGGTGTGTGTGTGTTGTGTGTGTCATTGTGAGAGAGGAAGAACTGTTGTGGCCTGTGTGATATAATAGGACCCACAAACCTTCAGTAGAGATGACTGAAGTCAATACATGCTTGGTATGGTTGGATTTCATATAGAAACAAATAGAGGGGTGATTTTCCATATACAGACAAGTGGCAAAGGTGACCTGTCTTTTTAAGCATAGCTGACAGAGAGGTGGTGTATTTAACAGAATCCTTGCCAGTCTGTAGGTCTCTTCTTTTTCTCAACCATAAATATAGCCAATTTAGATCAAGAATAGAAACCAGAATTCATTGTCATTGACGAAGGATTATAACTTTTTCCTCCCAACATTATAATAGCCAACTCATTTACTAAATTGAATAAAATAGACAAACACTTATGTTATTAATCCCATTTGACCATCACCCCATATATCTCTCAAAAGACAGAATAGTAGCTTTTAAGATAGTATTAATAAATGGTAATTCTTTTTCTTCATCTATTTGCCTTAAGGGTAATTACATATAAAGCCCTAAAGTAATGTGTTAAGTTCTAATACTGTGATTTGGCCATTCCCATGTATAAAAGACAGTTGTAATAAGAAAGACCAGGGTCCCTGTCAGTTTTCTCTTGCCTCTTCAGTGCAGAAGTCCCATGAGGCATGGGCTCTGGCTCTTTTTCTCTTCAAATACTTTTGGTGAGCTCATCCAATCTCCTGGTTCAATTACTGTTGCAAAAGCTTCCTTAACCCACCAGCAGTCTGTTATGCCCCTCCATTCAGTTCGTACAGTGTTACCAATCTGATCTTCCTCCAATGCAAACGACCATGTTGCTCCCCTGATTCAAACCAGCTAATAACTCTCAGCAGCTAAAACAATAAATTTAGGCCTCCTAGAGTGACAGAGAAGGCTGGTGACCATGTGGTCCTTACCAGCCTCTCTGTCCCACATTTTCCCATTGTTCCCCCCTCAAAGCACAGGTAAGAAGGAGCCCACCCCTGTCTCAGTAGCTGCTGAGGCTCCAGCCCCCATGCTTGGAGCCACTGGACTCCATCAGCCACCTTCCGGGCATGAGCAAGATGCATCGTGACCCAGAGGCTTCTGGGAAAAAGAAAGCTGCTCTACAGGGGGAGAAATGCTCTCTACTGCCCTAGCACTTGCTGACCTCTTTCTCGTGGGGATTGATTATGAGCTGGATAGAGAAAGCCCGCACTAAAGGCTGTCAGTTAACAGGTGGACGCAGAAACAGAGCTGAGTCACTGCGACGCAGGCAGCCGTGGAAGTCTGCTCTGACTATACAATAATTATAATACCCAGATCCTCAGATCTGTGCTGTATTTTGGATAGCCATCTAATTTCCTCTGAGATCCCCTGAGATGATTTCCTCATGTTTAATTCCTCACATATCTTTATAACAAATGCTAAGCATTAAGAAAACCCCATGTGTATCTTTGTTCCCTCAGCCACACTCTGCTCCTGTCAACTCCGAGAGCTGAGGTTCCCCTCGTGTATCACACCAATTCCCACCTAAGGGCCCTCACAGCCTGTTCCTTCAAGCCTCTACCCCTTAGCTGCCAAGTAACTCCTACTTTCTCCTGATGACCTAGCTCAGGACTTATCTTCTTTGACTCTCAAATTTCTTTTGAGTTTCCCTTAGCACACGAGAACTCAGAAAATACCCTAGAGACTACCGACCATTTGTAGGATTGGGAGGACTGAGGGATGCCCTTCCCACAGCTGCCCGCACGGTGTGACTTCAAGGGCAATGAAGGTCAAAGTCACAGAGACAGAAAGTAGACTGGTGGCTGCCAGGGGCAGAGAATGGGGAGTTAGTGCTTAATGGGTACAGAGTTTTAGTTCGGAAAGATGAAAAAAGTTCTGAGGATGGATGGTGGTGGGCATTGTACAACAATGTGAATGTACTTAATGCCATTGAACTGTACACTTAAAAATGATTAGGATGGTATATTTTATGTTATATTTTACCACAATTAAGAAGAAAAAAGAAAAGAAAGAGCAATGTAGGTTTCTGGCCCCCAACTGCTTTGCCAATCAAGCTTGCCCTTGGAAGGTCCAAGGATGGGTGGAATGTCAGGGGTGGGTGAGTTGCCCCAGGAAAGTCTGGGAAAACAAGAAGGCATTGGCAGGTAATCGGATGAACCTGACAAATGACTGAATGATGGCACAGGAAAGGTGTGGAGACAAATTTCACCTGTTTCAGAATTTGATTTGGGAAAATGACAATACATATCTGAGATAAACAGTGTATACAGAGGAAGCTGTAGAAAATTTTGAATAATAAAACATAAACACCTTTGAGGCATGAACAACACGACACACCAATGAGGCTAATTTTGAGCAAATTCACAAATTGTAAATGTTTTTGTGCGATATGTTGTATGTTTATTCTTCGGCACACTTTGAAAACAATGCATATAAAGAGGGAAGAATGAATCACATCCAAAATTTCCAACAATCTTTTAAAAAGTGTTTATAATTTTGAACAAAAGGTATTATCACATAATTAAACAAGGGCCATATCATTCCATCATTTTGAGACGTATATGCAAAATTTTATATTGACACCGATATGCAAAAGAAATAACACAGGGGAAGAGTGGCGATGGATTAGGAATGGAGGACACTCACAAAGGTTGGAAAAGGGTAAGTCATTTAAACAGAGTCCTATAAAGATAGAAAAGTTTTTTCTATCAATTTCACCTTCTACAAGGACACACAAAAATGAGGACATAAGAGAGAAGAATAAAATGTTACATGGGAGAAGAACTTATTTCTTATGACTTTAGGGAATATAAAAACTGCACGTTGAGTAAACAAAGAGTAAAGAGTTTTACCCATTTCTGAAATATAATCAAACACATTTGAACTTTGTTTCAGAGAAGCATATTTGGAATAGCTTGTCCACAGTTCCCTCTCTTATTTCTTTTTTTATGGACTTTAAAAATTAAAAAAATAAAGTCTACTAGGTTGTTTTCTTAGTGACTGAAGAATGACCAATATTGAAAGAGAAAATCTGCTCACTAGTTGTTAAAATTTAACTAATGGGGGGCCGGGCGCGGTGGCTCACACCTGTAATCCTAGCTCTCTGGGAGGCCGAGGCGGGCAGATTGCTAGAGGTCAGGAGTTCAAAACCAGCCTGAGCAAGAGCGAGACCCCGTCTCTACTATAAATAGAAAGAAATTAATTGGCCAGCTGATATATATATAAAAAAAAAATTAGCCGGGCATGGTGGCGCATGCCTGTAGTCCCAGCTACTCGGGAGGCTGAGGCAGAAGGATCGCTCGAGCCTAGGAGTTTGAGGTTGCTGTGAGCTAGGCTGACACCACGGCACTCACTCTAGCCTGGACAACAAAGCGAGACTCCGTCTCAAAAAAAAAAAAAAAAATTTAACTAATGGGTCCATTCATTAGTGATGCATTTATTTAAATCTCACATTGCTAGGCACTATTCTAAAAACTGAGACAACTCAAGAAAAGAAAATATCATCTCTATCCTTAAGGAATGCATCCTTTCACTGAAGATATTTATCTATCTATATATCTGCCTACCTACACATATACATACACACATGCATGTATATATATATATATAAATATATAATCTTATGTAATATGCAACTATTAATAAAAACAATGTGATAAGTGCTTTAATGGAAATCTGGAAAAAATGCAATGGAAAAAAAAGTTGAAAAAAATCAACTCAGCCTATGGGAGAAGGGTGGTGGAGCATGAAATTGGTGAAAGAAAGAGAACTTCAAGAAGGGGAAGACTTCAAGGAAAAGGTGAAGGAGGAATTAATCCTGAAAAACGAAAAGGTATGCAGTACAAGTGGTAAGGTGAAGCTGAACAGACAGGTGTTGGTTTGATTATGACAGACCTTGAATAAAGAATTTGAAGTTTATTTTGCAGAACACATAAACTGACAACAGAGTTATAGCTAGAGAAAGAGTTGGCCAACTTTCTCTTAAAGGGCCAGATAGTAAATAATTTGGGCTGTGGGCTTTGTCTTGACTACTCAACTTAGGCTGCGGTGCAAAAGCAGCTATAGACAACATGTAAATAAGTGGGTGTGGCTGAGTTAGCACATCTTATATTTTCCTGGTTAGAGCTGGAACCCATACTACTAAGTGAAGTATCCCAAGAATGGAAAAACAAGCACCAGATATATTCTCCAGCAAACTGGTATTAACTGAGTAGCACCTAAGTGGACACATAGGTACTACAGTAATAGGGTATTGGGGAGGGGGGGGCAGGTATATACATACATAACGAGTGATATGCACACCATCTGAGGGATGGTCATGCTGGAGACTCAGACTTGTGGGGGGAGGGGGGAAGGGCATTTATTGAAACCTTAAAATCTGTACCCCCATAATATGCTGAAAAAAAAAAAAAACTCCCTCTACAAAATCAGCGGCTAGCCTGAAGATTGTAGTTTGCTGATTCCTATTCTAGAGAATAACTCTGGTGGTAGTTAAGAGGCAGTCCAGGTGAGAGATGATGAAGTCCTGAGGCAGTGAAAGTGGAAACAATGAAAAGGAAATGGTTTTGGGGGATTTTTAGGAAACAGAATCAATAGAACTTCATGAATGATTATTTGAGGGAAGTTAAGAAAAGAAGAGTCAAAGATAATATTGAGGTCTCTGGACTGAATAAACAATGATGCTATTGAGATGGGACCATGACTAGAGAGGCACAGTTTAAATTCTGGGAACACAGCACCATTTCAGAAAGGGTTCTTTTATGCTTTTAAAGTTCAGGGAGGGGCCATGATTCAGGAGTTCCTTAGAAGAATAGTATGGCCAAAGACCAAGATTTGTAGTTCCTAAATCTAATTAAAGGGTTCTGGTTCTAGTTAAGGTGGCATAAGCACGTCCTTTCCCTATCTTTCCCACCGAGTACAACTGAGTACCCTGGGCAGAATACCTATGTGACTCTTGGGCGATTCTGAAAAGCAAATAAGAGCAGGTGGACTGAGGAGGAAAACCAGTTCTCAAAGAATGACATACAGTGTTGAGTTCTCTGTCTTTATTTTTTGCCTCCCATATCTCCTGGCGTCGTAAATGGGAACAGGCAGAGAAGCTCCAAGAAAAGCTCCTTTAGCCAGAGTTCAGGGACGGGATGTAGCTCTTTAGACTCCTCTGGCCTCATTTTAAGTGAGTTCCAGGAACAAAGCTGCAAATTGTAGTGGTGGTAGAGGGGACAATGGCATTGGTTCCCACAGGGTCTTTTCTTTTGTTGCTTTGTCCACGGGGAGACCAATTGTAGGGAGTGTACCATGGCATGAATAGGATCAAGCCTTGGCTTTATAGTCAGAAGACTAGGAAAGGGAGTCCCTGGGAGATAGGAAAAATGGGGAAGAGCACAGAGAGGAAGGCACTCCAGAAAGGGATATTTTAATTTTGTATATGAAGTCTTAGGCTCATGTCCAAGGTGCACATGTGTAGAATGGACCATGATAAATGTAACCAAGACTTTGAGAAATGAACTATGGTGTAGATCACCACCCAGGTGCCAGAACTCCCCTTGGGTGGCACACAGGCAGGGAAGACCAGAACAGTAGTGCAAGGGCTTTGAAAACTAAACTGGCACTGGAATCACAACTTTCAGAAGGTGGCTCAGGACTTAAAGTTTGAACCTAACTGGGTTGACTGTCTGTTAAAGTGAAAAATGTTAACACTCTACAGAGGATTTTAACAGAATATAGAGTCTCATAATATGATATTTAAAAAGTCCAGGATATAATAAAAATTATTTGATATTCAAAGAACCAGGAAAACTAAACAACTCTCAAAAGACAAAGGCAATTAACAGATACCAACCCCAACATGACACAGATGATAGAATCACAGACAAAGACCATGAAGCAGTTATTATAACTAAAGTCCTTGAAGTAAATGCTCTTCAATGAATGAAAAGATAGAAGTTCTTTGCAAAGAAATTGGAGCTGTAAAGTGAAAATAACTAAATGGAAATTTTGGAAATGAATAATAACAAAAATTAAAATTTTACTGGAAAGGCTCAATAGCTGAACGAAAATGACAGAAGAGAATTAGTGAACTTGAATGTGAATTGACAGTAATTATCCAATCTGAACAACAGAAAGAAGAAAAGTTGAAAAATAAATAGAGCCCCCAAAACCTATGGGATATATTAAAAGGCCTAAAATTCATGCCATTGCAGTCCCCCAAAAGAAGAGAAGGATTGGTACAGAAAATATATTTAAGAAAATAATGCCTGAACAATCCCAAAATTTGATGAAGAAAATACATTTATGAATCCAAGAAGCTCAGCAAACCTAAACAGGTTAAACATAAAGAAAACTATGCCCACACGTACAATAATCAAACCACTGAAAACCAAAGGTAAAATTCTGAAAACAGCCAGAGGAAAGTTATGCATTTCATATAGGTGAGTAATTTTAATGACTGCATATTTCTCATCAGAAACTGTGGAGGCCAGAAGACAGTGGAGTAATATTTTTAAAGAACTGAAACAAAAGAACTGTCCACCTCCAATTCTGTATCCAGGAAACATATTCTTTAGGAATGAAGGTAAAATAAAGATATTCTCAGATGAAGGAAAAGTAAGAGAACTCTTCACTACTAGACCTGCTTTAAAAGAAATACGAAAACAAGTTCTTCAGGTTGAATAAAAATAATAGAGGGAAACTGAGAATTTCATAAATGAAGAAAGAATGACAGAAATGGTAAATACTTGAATAAAAATAATAGACTTTTTATTCTCTTAAATTCTTTAAAAGAGGTATGACTATTGAAAGCAATAATTATGACATTATCTGATCGGGCTTTCAATGCATGCAGATGTAATACATATGACAACCACAACACAAAGTGGAAAGGATAGTGAGATCTATACAGCTGTAAAGTTCCCATATTTAACTTGAATTGGTAAAATCCTAACTATACGTAGACAGTGAAAAGTTAGGCATGTAGTTTGCAATCTCAAAAGCAACCTCCAAAAATATTGTGCCAAGGGCTGGGCGCGGTGGCTCACGCCTGTAATCCTAGCACTTTGGGAGGCCGAGGCGGGCGGATCGCTCAAGGTCAGGAGTTCGAAACCAGCCTGAGCGAGACCCCGTCTCTACCAAAAATAGAAAGAAATTAATTGACCAACTAAAAATATATATACAAAAAATTAGCCGGGCATGGTGGCGCATGCCTGTAGTCCCAGCTACTCGGGAGGCTGAGGCAGTAGGATCGCTGAGCCCAGGAGATTGAGGTTGCTGTGAGCCAGGCTGACGCCACGGCACTCAATCTAGCCTGGGCAACAAAGTGAGACTCTGTCTCAAAAAAAAAAAAAAAAAAAAATTGTGCCAAGAGATACAGTCAAAAAACCTATATAGATGTACCATATCATATATATGATATATATTATACATGTAAATATGATAAATATAAATATACATGACATGACATATGGAATACTTAGAAACATACATCTAATTCAAAATAAATTTTAATTTCAAAGTAGAAATGCTTGAGTCTTCAGCTCTAATTATAAAAACTACAGGAGTTATCATGTTTAATATATCAGTATTCAGCCCACTTCCCCCAATCTGAGCCAAAAGACAGGATTACCTGTAAAGTTCTGTGCTTTGAGATGTAGATCGTAGAGTTTGTGGATGTAGCGTATATACATCTCTTCCTTGTTCAGTTCAGTCTTATAGAAATTCTGTAAAAAAAAAAAAAGAGTATGGATATGGTATGGATAGTTCCTCAGTAGTCAGGCCTACGAATATCTGCCTTTTACTCTGCTAAACTTCTATGTCTTGAACTAGGAGAACTGATACATTTTTCCATGTAATGTCTCTTTAAAAATGAAGTAAGGCGGCCTAGTGACATATTTTCAACTGGACAGTGCCTGTGTTAAGCATGACCTCCTAGCAATTACTGGATAACCTTGGGTTATTACCCCTGATTCACATTTCTTTTGTTACTTTCTACTACTTTTTGTTAGTTTAACTGTCAAAGGACAATCAGCCTATTCAACTCAAAAATGTTAAAAATACATAACAGATTAACATATTTATTAAGTTTGCTGACTGATAGTCAAAGGATAGTTTCTTTAATTTTAAAGATATTTTACTCTAAAGAAAAGTCTCTAAGACTATAGATAAAGATGAGTAAAACACTGTAAAAGCATTTTTTCCCCGAAGAATTATGTAAAAGAGGGTAAATGAAAATATTCTTTATTAAGATGTTATTCTGCCTTTCTTACTTGTGTTGGAGTTTAAATGTTTTTAGTTTATGTCCAAAACATAAAGGAACTAATAAGAGATTTTATTTCAAATTATTATTATAGGAACATGCTTACTGAAAATATTTGTTTATTAAACAAAATATCTAGAACTTACTAAACTTCTCTAAAATGTTTTAATATTAGTTAATGAAAACTCAATGTTTACTTACCTGGACACATTATGTTGGTATTTTAAATGTATAGTTTTAAGCATCCAAATATACTCTTTCATCACACTAGAAAGTATATTAGTCCTCTCTGAACTTAGTAAACATAGGAGCAAATGTACATAAAATTAGATTCTAATAAAAGCATAATGTGGAGTCTCCGCGTTCGACACTTTTAGTGAACAGATCATTGTACATTATGAAATCCTTGCTTAAGACACTTGAGCTACTCTTATTACTTATTGTTGCTCTTTTCACAGATGCTGTTTGGTGTGCAGAAGAATGGAAAATTTGTGATGAGAGGATAAATCTGTTGACTTGAAGGAGTGACAGGCTTTTCTAAGACAAAAAGGCCAAAAATTCTCAAAAATTTTTATAGTGATTAGCTAGACAGAGCTTTGGTGATGGATTAAACTAGCCAACATGGTTAAATTGTGCTTCAATTATAAGTGGGCATGAAGCTCAAGGATCATCTAGCAAATGTACTCTCTGTCTAGTACCTAACAGGTGTCCATTCATCAATATGAGGATTCTTGTAAACTTGAGAGAATGATAGTAAGTTGAATTCATCATAAACAATTTTTTTTCCAATTTATAACACTATCTTCCCCCTTTCCCCCCTTGTAGATCTTGGCATTCTTTAGAAAGCTAAGTAAATAATGCTATTCATGTCTCTCTTATTATAACCACAATCATTTTAATTAGCAAGAGTTGTTGTACCATAAATACAAGTCTAACAATCCCACAGCAGGTTTTAAATTATTAAAGGATGATTGGCTCTAATAGCTTTCTGCTAAGAAGCAGCTTTCTTTAAGAACAAAATATGTAATCCTGCTATAAATGAATACTTCTTTAAAAAAAATCTCTCCAGTCAGCAAAGGGTATTTCACATATGTCTGGCAAAACGTGTGACACAAAGAACAAAACATTAATTACATTTCCTAGTATTAGTCATGTCAAACATTACGCATTTTTACCAACTTAACTCTAGAATTTGACTCTGATCTTGTAAGGGATGTCACAGTTCTCCAGAAGACAATCTGGAATTAACCTTTCCAGAAAGGGAAATCTCTGAGAGGAAGTGAGTAGTTGAAGAGAACCATATTGCTACCAGAAAACATCAAGAACTTTCCATATGGAGTAGAGGCTAAAAAGATTAGCTTCAAAGTGATATCTTTAGTGCTTTAATAAGTATTCTTGTGCTAGTTTGTAATGAGTACAGCTTTCAACATGTTAACTTTTCTAGAAGGACTATTCTTGGTCAGCACAAAGCTACCATGATAAATTCTTTGTCTCAAGTGATTAGTTAGGGCACCACTGATTATGCTAAGTCTCTGGCTTATTCCTACTGGGAGACTAAACACATCGAGGGCAGAGTATTAATTCTTTGATTCAAGGAAGAGATCTCTTCTTTTATACCAGCGGAGGAAGTGAACCTAGGGTTTGCACTTATTTGTCCACCTCCAAGTGGAAAGGAAATGTGAAAGAAGATGGAACAATGGAAGAGGATTCTTTTGAAAAAAGGTAAAGGCTTTGCTTTGAGGTTATTGATGAGACCTAGTACCTGGAGCTGATGTAGAGCTCAGGTTAAGGAGACAAACTGAGAAGACCTAAAGCTTATAGAGCACTTGGCTTACCTCTCCTAACACTGAATACAAGAAGGGACATGGGGGAAACTGAGGCTGAGGGTCCTGACAGTGATGAAGGCTGGCAAAAGCAGGCAAGAAACCAGGGAAACACAGCTAGGAGATTTAAAAGAGGGAATGATTAGGTTCAAGGTTATAAATGATGTTTAAGAGGAGGGGAAAATGGGCTGACCCAGTGAGTTTGGGTGGATGGCCTGGAGGTTACCATTGGGTCTAATGACAAAAATGATGGTAGAAAGTGCATAATACGTGAACAAAATGTGGCCTGATGGAGTATGCTCAGGTCTCGTTCTTCTTAGGGACTGATATTAGAGGTAGAGATGTAACAATTAAATTAAAAATGAGGAGGAAGTGGCAGATGTGGTAAAGATGGATACAGACATAGACCCAGAGATGAGGAGCAGTACAGTAAGAAATTAGGAAAACTGATAAAAAGACAGTCACAAGAAGCAGAAGTCCTGAGCTTTGAAAAGGGACTATGAGAAGTGTAAACAAAACAAAACAAAACAAAAAGACTGAAACCATTGAGCTAAGAAAAGACAGAATTGATGATCAATGTCAGGGAAAAAAATTCAAGGTACAGGCAAAAAGAGAAGACTATGGCATGTGAGGGAGTCAAATGATCAGAGTAAGGATAAGGATGACAGTGCAAGTACTTAGAGTACCTGAGGAGGATTCGTCTATTCTACGAAATATAAGAAAAGGAAACCATGATATTCACCAAGTTGGACCTAGACTCTTCATGTATTTCAAATCTGATTAAAGGAATCATCTTCCTATATTTCATCTCTTCCTGCACTTCACATCTGATTCAAGGAAATTATCAAAATCATTAATTTGTCCTATACTAAAATATGAAAAACAAATGTCTAAATGTATGGTTATCTCTTTGCTCGGTGGTGAGACTGCCATTCTCTTTAATAGTTAGGTGACATTTTATATAAATTTTGGTTTGCCCAGGACCCCTTTGGTAGCCTGTTATCTTTACATAATGTTTAATTTTACTCTCAAAAATTTCCTGCTCGAGTGATACATTATAGGGTCATCCTAGTTATTATACACACCTTAACAACAGTGCTATTATGAATTCAACTTGCAAAGAAGCTAGAAAGTGAAAAGTAGTGTGTTAAACATAAAACTCATTTTATGTTCACAAAAGACGAGATCAGTAATATTTATTAAAACGTAGAATGCATATAACTCTGTGAGGAAGGAAAAGAAGAACAGAGAGAAATTGCTTTACAGAAGTAAAAAGACCTCTAAATGGGGACACAGTGCTTTTCTTTTTTTGGAGAGCAACAAAAGACCCTAGGAGGGTAAAGCAGCGCAACTGGAGAACCCAATGCCAGTGCCCTGGGTTCCCCGGGTCTGCTATTAGAGCTGTCGGGAATGCGGAGGGTGCATTTTGCAATGTTAGGGGCCGAGGATTTTCTGGGCTGTAATTCAACCTGAAGCTCACTATGTTCTTTTAAAAACACTTCTAAACCCTTCTATGAAACACCACATTGCAGATTAAAAACAAACAAAACACAATATTTCTGTGAAAAAAGTTAGGAGAAAAGGAGAAAAAGGGTAATAGTTTACTAACCAGAAGGCTAACGGTGCAGCCAATCTTTTTGCCATCTACCTCTCCCATTTTCATGCAGTCCCTAAAAACAGAAAGCAATAGTCAGAACTCAGAACTTCCTTTTTAGAGGCAAACACAATTTGTTCTTTTAGGCAAAAAAAGAAAAAAATTAGTCGGAAACCAGAGACAATTTGCAAGTGTCTGTTCAGATAAAGGCTCCAGGGACCAAAGATCTCTGGTGAGGCTGGGGAGTCAGAGACTCCCGAGCACTAGTTTCTGTCTAGAATTTCACTTCCATGTCAAGACTGTGCTCCCTCTCAATGGACAGGGGGCTCAGGAGGAAAGAGGAGTGAAGGTGTGTTATTGTCCACCTCCCAAAGAGGGGGGAGAAGTAGCTGGTAAGCCTCATCATCATTGACAATGAGGTTTTGTTCCTAAAATAAAACAAAACCACCATGCATCTAAGTGGGATGGACTGCTTTAATGGTGTATTAAAAAAAAAATAGGTCTACGAAAGGTGACAATGTAAATTTCATCCCCCGACCTGGCTCTTTTTCAAGAGAATAGCATGGTTGTACAATTCTGTTACATTGTCTTCACCCTAAAATGGATAGAGTGTACTGGTTCTAGTGGGTGAGTCTAAATACCAAAAAAATAAATAAATAAATAATTTTTTTTTTTTTTTAGGACTTTCAGGGACTCTGACAATCCTCTCAATTCACCAAGACTTTGAAATAACTACCAAAAAACCCAAACCAAACTGAAAAGAAAACACCCAAATTAAAAACTCTGAACCAGCCGGTTAGAAGTCCATTATTTTACTGCACCAGGTTCCATGGTCTGATTATCAATTCGGAGTGATTCACTCAAGTGGAACGTTGATTGTATTCCACCTATTTGATTTTCTAACTGGAGCTCGGCACATCTGAAAACCGGGTGCCTCGGCTTACCTGTAATCTAACAACCTCTCCATAAGACGAGTTACAGTAGCAATTAATGAAACGCCACTCTCCCTCCATGTTTCCCGCTCAATTTTCTTTAGTAGACTGGAAAAGAAAGAACCCAGGGCATTTTCAACATTTATTTTTATCAGTCACCATGACAACCATTTTACTTTCATCAGTACCTTAAATGCCTTAGCAACCACTGCAACATCTCACAAGTAGCACAATTTGCAAACAATGTCTTACCTAGGATAGGGACCAAATAGTGGAATTCTAATCCAGGAAGCATTGACAAAGCAAATTGATTTTCAGATTATCCAAGTCATAAAATACAAACACATGCATATAATCATATTTTGAAAATATACAAGCATCTCACAGCTCAAAGACATTTTTTTCCTAGCTGCTCTCTTATACTAACAGAGGCTTGTGCCTTACCACATCAAATAACACTGCGAAAAGCGAAAACAGGAGTGCCTCCAAGTTTACTTTTAAGTAAGAGCTTGCTTTATCCACATAAAAATGCTTTCCTACCTCTCAGTGGAATGCATCCTCATCCAAGCAATTTTACTGCAATGCAACTGCTACAGGAAAATCCTTGTACAGACGGTATGACGTTTTGCGTTTTTTCCTTTCACTTAACATTTGCCCACTCAATACATATTGTACTATCTGTGCACTCACTCAACAGTTTCATTCATTTTGTCATTAATCACAGAGGATTTTCTATGTGGTTGTTCCAGCAGATTGATGACAAGTACCGAACCACATCTCTCCTCCTACATTTCCCCTAATCCTGAGCACCTCGGAGCACAGGCTCCATGTAAACACAAAATAACAACAATCATAATAATTAGGATCTGCTTTACTTCCACTCCCGCCTCTTGGCAAATTAACAATGTGCTTGGCAAAGCTTTTATGACTGAACTTTCCTCAAAAGATAAAAGAACATAAGCATGGCAATATGTGGATACTTCCCTACCCCTCCGGATTTAATCATCATTTCTGTCTAAAATCTTGTTTCCCTTTCATCTTGGCTTCAGGAATGAGATTAGAAAGAAAACATTTCTTACAAGTACAATCTAAGCATATCATATATGTACTTAGTTGAAAAATAAACATTAAAGAAAAAAGCTATTTTGTCAAAGCTTTCTTTTATTTGTGGCTGTGTTCTCTCCCAATTTTCCTCTCTCCTCCAAACCCCACCTCTTTTTCTTGCCATTGCTATTCCAGCACCCAGCCTCTGTCTTTTCTCCTCATCTGTTGCCTATGCATCCTGGTCATTTGTTCTTCTGGTTTATTCTAAATTGTTTCCTTGGTTAAGGGTGGAGATTGCACATGGAAGGGATGGAGTCTGCCCTGACTAATCCTCCAGGGAAAGGCCCCCCGGTTTTCTTTAAAAAACCTCTGAACAGCAACTGTTTCAAGCTTAAATGGCAAATTGGTATTGAACTCAAATGAAAATCTGCCTGCCGAAGCAATGCAGGATGATGTTGAAATTTCCCCAAGTGACAGCCCACACCTCATATACTTTAGAGGCTGAAAAACAAAGAACTCAAGTTAAGTAATAATTCTAAAAATACACGGAGACTTCTTTTATGGAGATGAGTTTCATTAGTTTGCACAGCCTTCTGAGGCAGTAAGGAGTCAGAACTACATAATCCTCCTGTGAGAAGAGGCAACGCTCTGCACAGCCTGTTTCCTTGACTAACTCAAGACCAAATGTTAGGACTGAGTCTAGAACCCAGTTCATCTGGATTCTCAGCTAGCCTTGTTCCTTCTGTCAGGAAGCTTGCTGTTTCCCAGTTCAGCTGATACAAACTGGGAAAGACAAGCTATCAGCAAGAAGGGAAGAGTCCTTCCAGGTAACCTGGGTGAGACTGGATAATTTCATTTGCTCAATAATAATGCCCACGTGCCCACACTGAGCGCACAGTGAGTCCATCTAATATCAATGAATGGAGGTTTCTTATTGCTATCCTGTTATATGCAACGGGGACACCGGGGAGCAGGATGAGCCATGGTCCTGCAGGATGACATTGCCCACCAGGCTTTCCCTCTGTGGAAGAGATGAGTGTGAGTGAGGGGGGGATTTGTCCCTCAATCTACCGCTCTCTGTGTCATAACAGGATTGCGCTAAGGCCACCTCTGATATATAACACCTGTGTCTGTGCATGCTCTTCTTAATCTAAAGACAAGAGTTAGATACCTAAGGTATGATGTTACAGAGATAATCCTCTGTCTCCAAATGGTAATAAATGTGTGGTCATTAAATTAAGATCTCTGAAATAATTTGGAGTCTTATTGAATTATTTAGAGCTACACAGGAGAAAGCAGAGTAAAGGACTGAGAAAGAACTGAGATGGATGTTACTTCTTCTGGAAAGCCCGGTCAGAGGTGGCCCTACTGTGTGCTGCAGGAGTACCTGGCATAGAAGAGTGCTTAATATAATAAATAAAGCTGAATGAGTGAATCAAATGGAGCCAGGGGAAGCAGAATTTAGTTCTGATATTTTACTCTGTATGTTCCACGTTGGTGTCTAGGATCTGCAATTTAGTGTTATCAAAAATAATAAGTCTCACTCATTTCAAACAGATGTAGTATGGGCCAATGAAGATAATGTAGGGGGTTAGGGAAAGATGAGTTGAGTTCTTAGGAAGGAAGGTACTCTACAAACATGAAGAATGACTCCAGGGGGACTATTTTGGCAAATACTACAATTTAGGAAGCAGTGAGCTGCTTTTAGCTTTTCAGCTTCAGAACAAATTTTAGGAAGTTTTAGACATGAATTACAGAGAACAAATGAGAATCTGTACCATAATGGCATGTGTTCCTAATTCATAATGTGTGCAGTGACTCATTGTGATTATCCTAATTCATTGTGATTTCTATTGCCAAAAAAGCATTTTATTGTTTCCCGAAATAAAGTTAGATTTTTCACTTTCTTTCCTGAGCCCAGGAGTGATGATATTTAATTATCACTCTAGGTTTGATTTATTCCCAATATGCTGATCATAAAAGCATGGAAGAAAAATATTTATAGTAGTATTTCTAGTAATATGCTAAAAATCAACAAAAGAATAAAAATCTCCATTGAATGAATCAGGCACCTTAAAATAGTCCTAATTATAGAGGCTTAATATTTTAATTATTGGTTTGGTTCTAATGTCAAGGTACATCTTCCATTTCAAAGTCATATTTATACACAAGCAATCCAAATTGCATGCTATCAGGCCTTTATTAAAGTAGATAAGAGGCACTATAGAACTATGTGAGTATTTATTAATCTTGTGAATTTGTTATAAATAATTAATCGCAAATCCCAAGAGGTTCATTTCACTGAGTGCTTTCTCATTTTAGTTCTTTGTTCAAACCAAGGACTAGTAAGTGAAATGAGAGCAGTTTTCAAAAGCAATTTATTACATTGGATGAGGTTTTAATCAGAATTCTTGCTCAACTCCAGCTGTCATGAAAGACAGACGCTTTGTACACTAGAATGAACAACGGCTTGGTGAATAATTATTAAAAGTTCCAGTTTAATTACAGTATCAGGACAAAATGATGCTGTTCAGGGTTCAGCACAGAGAATGTATTTTATCACCCACCATCGCCACCTGCTATCTTTATGTCCCTTCTTTGCTTTTCCTTTCAATGTAATTTTGAGAGCTTCAATCTGACTTTGAATCAGGTAAGCTGAAATCTATCTAACCTACTAGTCACTAATAATGTTCTTCAAACCTATACATTAATATTTCTACTGTTTTAAATTAATTATCATAAAATGAATGACAGAATTTTGCATTTGGCCATCAATACTAAAGCACTGATATTTCGTTTTAGCTGAGACTTGGGCATCAATACAAATACATTTTGTCACAGAAAAATGTATTGCTGAATTGTTTTGCCCTTTCGAAAGAACTGTAAACATTTTCTAAGCATGAAGAGCTAATTCTTCCTTCAAAAGAAATACTTTGCATGTATACTAGATTTGAAAATGACTAAGATCCACAGAAAGCTACAGAGAAAACAAGTGTCAAAAGTGACTTCCTAAAGCCCTGAAACATTCTCATGTGTCCTCTCTGGCCATTTAAACAAAGTGCATGAACACTTGGTATAAGCAATACATCCTGTAACTGTGATCAGATTCTCTTGGTAGGGACCTCAAAGTCCCTTTACAGCACTGCATTATTTTTCTATCTTACATGCAAATTCAAATCACAGAATTTGCTACAAGTGATTTGTTTCTGTGATATTCTAATAAGAAGCATTTAGGAAGCAATAATGCTGAGTGAACAATCAGTATCGATGAATTAAATCAGATGTTGAAGAACAGATGCAAATTAGGTTAATTTTCCCAACAGCAAATCAGCCAAGGATATCATGCTTTGGGAAACGGTGCTCACAAACATTACAATCACACCCCTTTCATCCTCTCCCACTCATAACCCCACTACTTAAAATCATTATCTTGCAGCAATGGTTTTAAAATTATTAGGCATGAAAAGAGTGAGATCCGTTATGTAACACATGCGACCTGTCCTAATCAGAGATTAAAATAAGGAGACACGTCTAATCATCAACATAATAGGATCCATTCGCCAGAGTTAAGGCAATTATCCTTTATTTCACACTCCACAAAGACAAAGCACTCCTGTGAGACCCAAGCCGTCTTTGCAGCTCTCAGCTACCGCGGTACAGAATGGCTCAGTACTGACACCAAATCCCCTGAATAGAGTCAACTTGAGATAAACATATTACTCACATACTGTTGAAGAGCTCACGGTATGTTTCGTCACCTTTGCCTTCTGACATCAGGCTGTCCAGTTTGTCAATCAGCTTGGCTTCCACCTGAAACATACCTGAATATTACTCGCCCTTTCCTCCCCTTCCCAAGTAGGACTTCTAGGCAAATTAAAACATTTATTTATGCCCCGTAAAAGGCCACGGTAAATTTTGTGAAAGTGACATTATCAGCTGCGGTTAATAGCAGATATCCCTTTGGAATTCGAGGGGACTAGTCTAGAAGGAGTTACATGACTTCACACTCCTGGCTGGGTAGCGTTTACTGCTGCCAAAGACATCTATTTGTTGATTCAAACACAAATGCTTGCAGCCCAGTTTAAACGTTTGAATTCTTTTTTAGGAGCTATAAAAACTGGCAAGTCCTATTTCTTTTTTATTTTTTTTAAACATCACTATATATATAAGGACATCAGGAAACCAACATATCCACATACATTAATTTAAATCTTTGATGTGTTTTATATCTATTTTCTTTCTCAAAACAGTTTGAGGTTGCACTACTAAATCTTTGCTGAAGTTGAGAACGGGTCCTATCCACGTACAGATGGCAAATCCATAGAAGTAGTCTAAGTCAGCAATAAGCAGCAGGAGAGAGAAAGGACATATTTCCTGAAAACTGTAGTCAAAACATTTATATTTTCCAATATGTAAATCCCTTTGGAACTTGAGTATCAGGAAGGGAAAAGTATCTCTTCATATATCTGAGGAAGAAGACACAGAAAATGAATAACCCTCTCGATGGCCAGAGTTAAAACAACTAGGAATTGGGAGGGATATTTGATTTTGTCAAAGGACTAATCCCAATTATTCCTTTAAACCAAATTTCAATCAAGAGATAAAAAAGGAAGAAAAGTGAGTTATCTCCTCTAAATACAATTTTTTAAAAATCTTTCATTCACCTGTTAGCTTTTTTGAAAATAAATGTATACACCAGTGCAAGTGAAAGGCCTATGCCTTTGGCAATAGGAGTTCTATGTATGTAATCAGATTGCTTGTATGGTCAACAACCATTTCTAAGATTTGAGGGAGGCTTCATTTGGGAAGCATGAAGGATGGCCCATCCGGTGGGCACACAGGTTCGTGCAGTGACTGTGAAGGCTACTCTCTCCCACTTGAGGGACCTGGCATGGCAAAACAGCTGATTCCTTATGAGATCTGCTTTTGTAATAAGAACATGTGCCTTCCCAAAACTGGAGCAGAACTATTAGAACCTATGTCAACGAGAAATGATAGCTCACTCCCTTGGAATTTCCACTGCAAGAATTTCCATTGCTTTCTCCTTTAAATTAATTCTCAATGCTTCAAGCAAAGAGCAATAAAACATACTGCCAATCAAATGCTCAAAGCTAAGCCAGTCACCAAATACAACATGCAGGCCACGGAGAGCTTAATGAGCTTAAGAATCATTAACCCTCTGATTCCTCTGTGCTGTGTCCAACTGGGAGTAAATAAAGTCTCTGCAAGTTCTTAAATACAGACCTGGGAAATCACAGAACTTTTTTAGCTGAAAGGGAATTAAATGGCTTTTTAAGGCTTCCCTGGAGGCTCAGGAGAATGCAGGACCAGAGAGAAAGCAGCTGAGACTGCGTGGCTTGGGAGTGGATAGGCCAGGCTGGAATCCAGATCTGTTGGCCCAGCTCGGAGTTGAATCCATTAGTTCAGGGATGCCGTAGAACTGAAATCCTTCCAACTATGCTGAGGAGCACTCCCGCCTACCTGTTTAAAGTTGCCACTTCGTCTCTGCTCCCAGTCCATCATATCATGAAAAATAGGAATCATGACATTCCGAAGATCTGGCTGGGGTATCAAGGTCACTTCTAGGAAGGGGCCAATCAGAGCAGGGATGAAATGAAGCTTGTGCTCTCCTAAATGGAGCAAAATATTTGACTTTCAATAACCTTAGTAAGATTTCAGAAAATATTATAAAATTTAAAACTATTGCCACCAAGATATTCAATGACAGTTGCCTCCTTAAGCAAGAAAATAACCCATAAGATACAATTAAAAATTATATGAATCATCAGGAATTGGTTATGTATATTATTGTACATTCATACATTACAATTTTTATGCAGTCATTTCAAATGAGGCGGAAGAAGAATAACATAGGTGAAGTTTTTCAATATATACAAATGAAAAAGGTATAATACAGTAATATAGTATGCACAAGAATATCTTTCATTTTAAAAAAAAAAATATATATATATATTAGCCTAGAGGGTCATATTCCCTAATGTTAATCCCAGTGATTATCTCTAGGTGGTAAGATTACAAGTGATTTTTGTTTGTGAAAAAAGTCTGCATTACATAATTTTTATTGTGTGTGTTTTTACACAATAAATATACAGCCCAAATAAAAATCTAAATAGTGGCCTAGTAAAAGACTATAACTATTTTCTGAAAAGACTAAAACGTAACAATAGTGAACTCAAAATGGTATGCTACCAAGTGCTAAATGGCATGGTATTGATAATTCAGAGGACAGGAAAGTGGGAGATGGGATGGACACAGGTGATGTCATGTATAGCAGGTGGGTGTTAAATCCATTACTCCAATCTCCTATGTTAAATCTCACAGAGGAGTTTCTATTTCTATGATAAGATTATTGATGCTAAGAAAAATACACTAAAGAGCTAACTTTCAGCATCATGGCTGACTGTGCACGATCCTAAGGGCATCCACTTAGAACCTACAAGTTGGGAGGCTGAGCAGAATGTAGCTGGCTTCATGAAAGAGGGTAATTTCGCTTTATTATTTTCTCCTTTTGATCTTTTGCAATGAGAGCTGAATATAAACAAGATCGTACTGTTCACAGTTACATGCCAATTTCAGAGTTAAATGCCTTTACTTTCAAGACAGTTCTCTCTGTTTTGCTTTTTGTACTAGAAGGTGCTAAGGTGGCCCTGGAGCTCAGACACATATGTGCAAGGGACACTATGTAGATCCACAGTGCAAATGTATAGTTCAAACCTATAAGTAAAGACAATATGAGAGAAATAATTTGGGGGGCAGGGAGCAAAATGATGGATGAGGTCATAGGTGGGAAAACCCATGTAGGTGTGCTTGTGAATTCACTACTTTCTGTGACTGAAAGTGCCTTAGGGTACATCAGCTGTCTTCCAAATGTGTCCCACATCCCTGGATAACTGCCTTACTCTCAGGGCTATAGGACATGAGCAGGCGTGGGACAGAGTCAAGAACAAGCTTTCCAAATTGTGCCATGGGAAGTAACACTGGCAGCAGTTAGTGCTTGAGCAAAGTGGGCACACAATGACTTTTACAATCAGTGAAGCTGCTTAAACATTTCAAAGCCAAACTTGTGTATTTTTTCCCCTTTAGGCTAAAATATCCACTATCAAGAGGCACTGTGCGATTCATTCTACCCCATGGTATTCATCCTCTATTATATCCTCAGATTATGAGCATTTCTGTCATGATAAAATTCTCCCTATTTCAAAGGAATGACAGAAGGAATGTCACCGCATGTAGCTGAACATGTCAGGAAATTTGAGGGGCCACATTGCAATGTTGTGTGTGCTATGCACGCGAGAGAAAAGTATCTAGAAAAACTTCTCTAGGGTCCATGACTCAGAGAGGCCATAGAATCCTCTGTGTCTCTCCATGTCAACTTTCCTCCATGAGGCATTGCAGCAGTCAAAGCCATGATCTGGATTTTTTAGTATTGATATTATTATAAATACACAGAGAAAAAGCAGTGGTGGGCACTTCTTTCCCGTACATCTTTTGATAAGGGACTAATTATTAGTTTAATAGAGAATTTGCAAAGTTTGGGAAATGTCAAGATCATAAAAATGTATTTTATATTATGTATGTGTTTTCCATCTTTCCATTTCATTAAGTCATTCAGTCATTAACCTATTTAGTATTCAGTGACTCAAGAAATAGGAACGCCTAGTGTATTTTGAAGACCATGTTAGGAGAGGTACTTGCAAATAAGCAGCTCACAATGAACATCTGAGCAATTGCTGAGATAAAAATCTAGAATCACAAAACAATGAAGATGGTTCAACCCATTCTCCCTAGGGAACTGAAGAAAGCTGCTTGGAGGTGCAATTTTGCTACATCTGGAAGATAAGAAGTTGGCTTAATACGTGGGTAGAGGGTATTACTGGAGGGGAAACAGCACGTGCATCCCTTTCTTTGATTTGGGTGTTTTGGTTTTTGACTTTGTCAAATGCAACCCGTGGAGCTCTGATACACCAGTGAGAATGTAAGCGCCAGTTCCCTGAAGATTAGCACGGCAACAAGGAGGCTCTGTGCCAAGACTTTCATGAGCTTGAATTCCCTCTGGATTTCCACCCACCTGGAAGAGGTGCCCTTGACAGACACCACTTGTCTGAACCACCCTCTATGCTGAAGATACCTAGAGCTTTATGTTGACTTCCCAGCCACAGTCTGTGATGCTGTCCCGGGGCTGTCTCAGACATCTGCCTCAAGTAGCAACTAGCTGTCCTTGCCCTTGACCTGCATCCTGAGATCCCTGTGGGACCAAGATCCCATAGTCTATACTGGCAACAAGCCCGTCCCCTCCATTAGTTGGTACAGACACAGCACCCGGGGGCACTGGTGAGGTTCCTTGTTATTGAGATTGGGTGCTGCCCAGGTACCCTGCATCGTCAGGGAGGCCCCTCTACCACAGCTGGGAGCCAGGCTGATGTTACCTTGGGTTTAGTTTCAGTGTGAGTTAAAGTGCTTAGACAAAATGCTTTGAGCATCTCTCCAAGAATACAGCCCTGGACACTACCTGCAGGTCCTTTTACTTTACATCACAGAAGTCACAAACACAGTCCTTTCCTCTCAGGTTTCATTGAAGGTAACTTAATTCTTCTTTACCATGTCTAAACTACTCATCCGCACCCATTATGTGTGAGGGAGGAACTTGGCTCATAATTTCTTCTGTGTTCCTACCTTTACTTTTTACCCTTGGTAATCCTTTATCTTTCCCAAAAGACTGTTTAGTTTTCCTCATCAGAGCAAGAGCACCTCAAAAGAAACTTCTTTATTAATCTGACTACATGTTTTCCTCCAAAAGAGTGCATACTTTCAAGACTGACCAACTCATTGAAATACCAACTCACGGTTCTCCCTACATTTCCCCCATCCTCTCGACATAAACAATTCAAGCAGGTAACTAGCAGCTAGCACCTGCCATTCCTTTCCTCTGTTATTTTTGTCAGGGCAGAGAGCAGATGCCACCTGAACTCAATCACTCTTACTGTCATTTTTACAAGCCTAAACACACTGAAAAGCTTATCAAGATGTCCTGGGAAGTGAAGGGAAAAAAGAGAAAAGGGAGAAGGAAATTTCTGTTGGGGCAAAGGTTGGCAAGTCCTGAGATTAGTGGGTCTCAGGACTCACCTGCTCCATGACCCTACTCCCTACCCCAGGGGCTCAAAGTCTAGCAACAGATGCTGTGCCTCAGTAGAACCACTGGACTGAAGGGACCGTGTACATCAGGACAAAGGCCACCTTGGCATTTGACTGGTAACCAGAAGGGTCTCTCTTTTTCCTCGACACCAAACGTATGCACAGCTTTTGGGTGTATGTGGGGATACGGGAACAAAAGAAAGAGGGAATACAAAATAAAGTTGAATTTCCTGCCAGTCCTGATAGTCCTCCCATGCCTGAGATGGTAGAATGAGATTTAGAGCTGCCTCATTACTATCTAAGTCTTTAATCTTTAAGGAGCCAGGCATCCTTTGGCCTCTCTAGAGAAGACCATCATTAGCATGTATTTGCTTTATTTACCACTGTTTGCTTGAGTATTTGTAAATCTTTTTTTAAAAAAACTCTTCCATTTATAGACATTTTACAATCCAATTTTCTTTTTAAAAATGTTCTTTACTATGAAAAATTTCAAATGTACACAAAATTACAGAAAATAGTAAAACAAATCCCCATCTACTCATCATCTCGCTTCAATAATTCTCAAGAGTTTGCCATCCTGTTTCACCTAACACCCAGTTATCTATTTTTCTATTTTTTAAACCAAGTCTGAAACATCATATCATTCTACTTGTACTCACATCAGTAAGCATCTTTAACAGATAGGACATTTTATAAATATAGAATCAGGATGCTTTTTATCACACCTTACAAAGACAAACAACTCCTTAAATTAGTTGAAAACCCAGTCTATATTAAAATTTCTTTGATGGTCTTAAAACATGTGTTCCATAATTGCTTTCTTTCAATCACAATCCAAATGAGGTCCATATACTACATTTCGTAGCCTGATTTTTCTATTGACAGTAAGGTCATAGAGAGCCATACCTACATTTAAATCGCTGTGCAGGAATGCATGAGAATAGCCTTGTTTGCTGAAAACACACTTTGGGAACACAGAATCTGTGCAAACCTGAACAGGCTCTCCGACCAGAGAAAATTGAATTCCTACCAAACCAGCAAAGCAATCTGGAGGTATGTATGGCAACAGCAAAATAAACTTAATTTAAATGATTTCTTTTTAAACCATAGATTTAGTATACTTTCTCCATCTCTAATTGTCAGCCACATGGTCTTGTTTTGAAGTATTTAGGGCACCTGCTACTTGGGCTGTTGGAATTTTATATTTATGCACACAGAACAGCCTGCTAGGGAAGTATTGATTTTTTTTTTTTCTACAGCAGTTACAAGACGCTGTGTTTGCAAATGTGGAACAAAGAGCCCACTTTATATTTAGTAAGAATGTTAGTTCATCTAAAAATAGAAACAAAAACTTAACCTTGCAGCAAGATGAATGCCAAAGGTGGGACACAGTAGTAAAGACTAACCTTTTTCTTTGCAAACCATTCTTGCAAGTGTAGGTATAAATGGATAAAATTTAGGGGGAAAATAAATGCCT